CCAAGCTCAGATCACCCAGATTAGTTTTCATTGGAACAAAAAAATATAGAAATACAGAAGAATTGAAGGAAGAACTGCGCATATTCAACTATATAGATGATGAAGATATTCTGAATATAAAATTTTCCAGACAATCAAAATACACCAAAAAATATATAATTTATGTGGAAACTAATGGTAAAACATTTCGAAAGTTAGTTAACAAAATTATAGTTCTTGGATGGCATAGGTTCAATATTAGAGAAGATTTAAATATAATGACATGTTCCAATTGTAATGCTTATGGGCACCTTGGAAAGGATTGCAGAAATCCCTTGAGCTGTTCATTTTGTTCTGGGAATCATAAAAGTAATGAATGTGATAATCATAATAGCCCTTGTTGCATAAATTGTAAAATCGCAAATGATAAATTCAAAGTAAATAATACGTATAATCATACTTCTGATAGTGATGAATGTCCAATTTTACAAAAAAAAATAGCTTCAGCTAAAGATAGAACAAATTATGAATAATATAAATTTTGGTAAATTCACAAAAATCAATGATCTGAATATACTATACTTAAATATTCGAAGTATGGCTAACAAAATTGATGAAATAGAAGTTATATTGAAAAATAATAGAGAAACTCATATCCTGATTTTAACTGAGACTTGGATGAAATCAAATGAAACAGATTATGTTAATATTCCTAATTTCAATAGTATCCACCATTGTCGTGACGATAAACAGGGAGGTGGGGTGGCAATTTATTTAAAGAATGACCTGATATATCAAAAAATTGAAAGCAATATAAATAAAGAATACAATACCATTGAAATTGATATTTCCCAATTCAATTCCAAATTGAAAATAATTGCCCTCTACCGACCACCGAATTCAAAAATTAGTGATTTTTTTGATTATATTGATAAAACCATGGAGATTCATGAAAAAATTGTTATAATGGGAGATATGAATATCAATCTCTTAGCAGACAGTAATGATACTACTAATTATAGAAACATAATTAATAGCAATGGTTTCCATATCATGAACAAAATTGATGCAATGTATTATACCAGGAAACAAAACAATTGTTTCAGCATTCTTGATCATATTCTTACTAACTGCTACCACCTGAATTTCAACATAGAATTAGAAGATACCTCAATAAGTGATCATAGAATAATATATACATCCATTAAAAAAACAGATATTGTATTGAAAAATTATAAAAAACGAGAAATAATTAAAATTGATTATCCTAAATTCAGAAGAATATTATCTGAAAATCTAAATAAAAGTCAGTGCAGAGAATTTCAAGAATTAATGAATTTAATTTTGGAAGCTAAAGAACTATCTTCTATCAAAACAAACATGAGGATTCGTGAAAACAATGACTGGATCACTAATGCGATAATTCGTGAAATTGAAATTAGGAATAAAAAATTTGAAATATTCAAACGAAACAATCATAATGTAGAATTTCTTACTGATTATAAAATTCAAAGGAATAAAGTTAATGCCATGGTAAAGAGAGCTAAAATTGAATATATCAATAGAAAATTTGAAGAATCTCAAGGTAATCCAAAGAAAATGTGGGATACAATCAATTACTGTTTGAGAAATAAATCGAAAATTTCCGAGAAGGCAGATATTGAATCTTTAAAAATTAATGGCCAAATTATCAATAGCAATCTAGAAATAACTGAGGCAATGAACTCACACTTTTCAAGTATTGGTGAAAATACTGCTAATGAATTGAAACAATTCTACAATTATATGACTACTGACAATATTGCACCACGTTACAATGATTCAACAATACTTCTGATTCCCACTGATGAATATGAAATAATAAATACAATTAGCACTCTTAAAAAAAAATGTCCTGATCCAGAAGGTTTGATTACACGAGATATAATAGAATTGAAAAATATTTTGGCCAAACCACTAACAAAATTAATCAATATATCTTTCACAACAGGTATTTTTCCAGATGAATTGAAAAATACCTCTTTACGGGCTATATATAAAAGTGGTGATGCTCAAAATCCAGTAAATTATAGGCCAATAGCATTATTAAGTATTTTCTCCAAAATTCTAGAAAAAATTCTCAAAAAAAGAATTGTAGATTTTATCAATAAAAAATATGGATTCGATTTGAACCAATTCGGATTTCAAGAAAACAGTGGTACACAATCTGCTGTGCTACAAGTAATCAATTTCATTCAGGACAGACTTGACAAAGGAAATTATGTAGTAGCGATTTTCATGGATCTAAAAAAGGCTTTTGATACAGTTGACCACAATATACTTCTGAAAAACCTGGCTTCAATGGGAATCAGAGGAATTGGACACGATCTCTTGAAATCATATCTTGAAAATAGAACGATTATAACTAAAATTAATAACTGTGAGTCTAAAATACTATATTTGAACAAAGGGGTTCCTCAAGGATCAGTGTTGGGTCCAATTCTTTATCTATTATACATTCAAAATATTGAAAGAATGAATTTGATAGGAAACTATACCATATATGCAGACGATACAGTGCTTCTATATGAGAATAAAAACCCAGTAGTTCTAGAACATATCATAAATGAGGACTTGAAAAAAATTGAGAAATGGCTTTATTCCAATCTTCTTTCTCTCAATTCTAATAAGACTCAATATATGATTTTTCGTCAAAGAAATAAACAAAATATTGATCTGAATATCAGAATAAAAAATGAACGTTTGAAACAAACTGCCCATACCAAATACCTTGGTATTTGGATTGATGAGAAATTAACATGGGGAAAGCATATTGACATCCTCATAGGAAAAGTATCTCCCATTATTGGTGCTTTGAGAAGATGTCCTAAACTTAGTACATATACATCAAATATCATTCTCTATTCACATATACTCAGTCGAATTAACTATCTCATAAATATTTGGGGATCTTGTTCCAAAAATAGTTTCAACAAAATTTCTGTTCTATATAAAAAGGCATTGAAAGTATTGTATCGTCTTCCATATGACACTCCAACGAATCAACTGTATAAGGAAACAAACACATTTTCTTTGGAAGAGCACTTTTTAATCAATACTCTCAAAATTTCCTATTATATCATCAACAAAAAGCTTAAATCAAATTTTATATTAATCAGGAATTCTGAAATTCATGATCATCACACTAGACAATATAACTTGTTTCATCTTGAAGCTGCAAATTCTAAACTTGGGCAAAAAAAGTTTACACATGAGGCGATTTCGAAATTCAATAAATTACCAGATGATATCAAAAACAGCCCAAATATTATGCAATTCAAAAATAAAGTTAAGAAATATATTTATATGCAAAGGAATGATCAAAGCTGAAAGACCATGAATTCCCTTTTTTCTTTTTTTTTTTTTTTTTTTCTTCACTGTTTTTATTTTTCCCCTTATCGTTCACTATAATATGACTGTATCTTAATGATATGTAAGTTTTGTTCACTATTTGTAATTTCAATTATACAACAGTCGATAATACTTCATGAATGATCTTATACCAGGAATTACTGTCTGATCATTCATGTCATTCCTGCTAGAAAATTAATTATACTTTATATATTATTTGTATGAAATGTATCAATGAAGAAAAGAATGTAATGCAATAACTGAAATAAATAAATAAATAAATAAATAAATAAATTTATCCAGGCCACAGCCTTCAGGGCTTTCTGGCAATCCAGACCTCAGCTTTCAGTAACGCCAACTGGTGAGACTGAAACTATGAGCTCTCGAACCACAAGGAGAAGAATGCCATGAGAATTAATATCATTGTGGAGACATCGAAGAAATAAGTAGGTAGGTACTGAAACTGTGAGCTCTCGAACCACAAGGAGAAGAATGCCATGAGAATTAATATCATTGTGGAGACATCGAAGAAATAAGTAGGTAGGTACCTACTCAATGAGATACATGGTCCCTGGAAGGTCTGTATATACAGGGTGTTTGGTAGCTGGGTGCAAACCTTGAAGGGGGTGATACACTAGCCCATGAAGAACATATTCATACAAACATTTTCATTTTCTAGCGCGTTTTTTATTTTTAAGGGAACTTTTACGATTTTTAGTACAAAAACCCAAAATTGGTCAATTAAATGCTAATAACTTCGAATCTTAACAGAAATGTCCAGTTTTTTTCATTTATTTTAGTAGTCTTATGTGTCTCCAATCGTATTAAAGTAGTTTGAAGCACCATTGTGTCAAAAAAAGTTATGTACAGAGCATTTAAACTTTACAAAAAAAGAAAGAAGATAAAAAATCTGACCTTTGATGTCAATTAAAAAAATAAATAAAATACATACAGGTGTTCAGACACTTTTAAAAACATGCGTAGTTATTGCTCTTTTGTTCGAGGTATCATTTATCTAGCTAAGTCCTAAACTTTTTCAGTTAGGGTGCCTGAACCAGTTAAGGGTTGTAAATATAGATATTTGAAAGATTCAAAAAAATGTAATTTGAATCAATTTTAGCTCGAAAACCTTTAAACAGAAATCCTAAAGCAATATGCGATATTATTTTTAGACTTACATGGAATAATGAGAAACTTAGCCCAACCGGTGGCGGTGGCCTTTTACAACAAAGAATTTTACCTGAAGTTAGTCATTAATTGGAATGCATTCTTTCTTTATTGCTGGGGTCATAAAGTTGCTTCTGAGTTTATCAATTTTTAGGTACCTGAGTTGAGTAATCATCTTGGACCCCTCGCCGGGTCGATTTGGTTGGCCAAACAAGCTAAATAAATGATTTTTATTATTATTTTATTACCCATGTTCAACACGTGTTCGATTACCTAAATTAACTAATTTTATTGCATTTTTGTTTCAAATTCCTTTCCAAAGAAAATTTCCAATAAATGTGTGGGCTGGGGTCATCGGACGCACATTGGTTGGCCCACACATTTTGCCTGACAATTTGAATAGACAAAATTACCTCGAATTCATGATAAACGACTTGCCAATGTTACTCTATGATGCCGAAGTGCCAATATTGGACATGGACAGGCCGATCACATTTCAGCAAGATGGATGCCTAGCACATTGGGCTGTAAGCGTCCGCGAACACCTGAACCACTGTTTTCCTGGCAACTGGATCGGGAGAGACGGACCCATCCCCTGGCCTGCCAGATCGCCCGACCTGACTCCGTTGGATTTTTTTTTGTGTGGGGTCGGGTGAAAGAACTCTTATACAAAACAGAAATCACCACGAGAGAAGAATTACTTCAGCGAATAGAGGCAGCGTTTGAAATTATGAAACAGGAAATGCAAATGAAAGTAACCACAACTGAAGTACGAAATCGTTGTAGAAAGTGTATACGCAATGGTGAAGGACATTTTGAACACCAACAATAAATTTTTACAGTACAAAACATTTTTTTCTTCAATTCCAAAAAAATCTATATTTACGACCTTTAACTGGTTCAGGTACCCTAATTTAAAAAGTTCAGGATTTAGCTAGATGAATGATACCTCAAACGAAAGAGCAATAACTACGCATGTTTTTAAAAGTGTCTGAACACCTGTATGTATTTTATTTATTTTTTTAATTGGCATCAAAGGTCAGAATTTTTATTTTCTTTCTTTTTTTGTAAAGTTTAAATGCTCTGTACATAACTTTTTTGGACACAATGGTGCTTCAGACTACTTTAGTACGATTGGGGACACATAAGACTACTAAAATAAATGAACAAAACCGGACATTTCTGATAAGATTAGAAGTTATTAGCATTTAATTAATAAATGTTGGGTATTTGTACTAAAAATCGCAAAACTTCCCTTAAAAATCAAAAACGCGCTAGAAAATAAAAATGTTTGTATGAATATGTTCTACATGAGCTAGTGTATCACCCCCCTCAAGGTTTGAACCCAGCTACCAAACACCCTGTATACAAAATGATAATACGCATTTCAGATTCACTATAATTGCACAACTGAACTCATGCTTCTGAACCAAAATGACCTGCTTGAGGACGCTGAAGTTGTCATTTTGTAAAGTTGTTTTTCTTCAATATTCCTTATAGATACACTAAAGATATTGCTATTCGCTATTTATGTTTCGGAAGTTCTGGAATATTATGGATAAAATAGCTCTAGCATTCGATTTTCTTATGCTCACAGTCTCTCAGATGAGTGGGTCGAAGGTTACAAAGCGAAGCTGCAGTATTGGAAATAACACACGCAGAAGAGTTTTCGACTTGAATTTGAATATTTGAAGATCAAGTTAATAATTTTGGACAGTTTGAATAGAGAAAATTCCCAGATAACAGATAAAGATCCTGGAGAAGGTTTCCAGAATATTTCCGTGGAACTGTTCGAATATTCTCAGAATGTTCTCACAAGGGGCACTGAAAATTCTGAGAATAGTTTGAGACCATGCAAATGGGACGTAAATTTACATTCCATAATATCTTTCAGAACATTCTATGGATATATAGAATATCCTCAGAATAATGAAGAAATATCCATCGGAATATCCTCAGTATGAAGGGTACCCTAAAGTGCATGGAAAATATTTCAGAGATCGACATAGGAGGAAAATATATTTGTAACTGTAAAAGGAACCATTAGGATATTCATTGTGCACTAACATTGGGAAAATAAAATCACCAGAAAACTGTTACAATTCAAACATAATACAAACACGAATATTACGATGTGTAGGAGCAAATTCAGTTTGAGCGTCTCTAACGTGTAATTGGGGATAAATTTGAGTTCACATTGAACCCCATTGCTACCGCAGATCAGCATGAAAAGTTTTATCAAAATCAGCGAGAATGAATTTGGATAAACAATGAAAAATCGACCATTTCTGAAAAATGTCACCCCCTTTATCTCAAAAACGAAGCAACTTAGGACATATGTTTATGAAGAATAAGAAATTTTCTCTTTCTCAAAGTATCTAAATAATAATATATTCTATGAACATACCTGGAGAACATACCTAGAATTTTCGGATAAAGCATTCTATGACCTATGGCTCATGCTGCAAACTTCATTCTCGTAGGAAATCACTATCACCCCGTGCTCGTTGAACAATATACTATTCCTGGATAATATTCATATAATATAATGGAATATTCTAGGAACGTTTCGAGGATATTCAGATGAAATGTTGCATGAATAATCTCGTAAAACATTTCATCAACATTCAGAACATCCTCATCATATTCAATGAATATTATTCGGAATATTCTGAAGGAGGTATGTTTTGACTGTTGTGAGATCATTCATGGAATATTCTGTGCTGTCTGGGTTAGGTTGCACTAATAAGGGGAGTATCTGGTGTCTGTCAATGCTGCGCCTATCTGCTTGATTTGATACCAGATGAAAAGTTCGATATTCCACGAAAATTCACAATCATATAGGCAGAATTCTCTATAAATACAGTCGACACGTGTAGAAAATACGTGTCTGTGAAAACTTCACAAACGAATCACAAAGGAATCGTGAAGAGATGGAAAAACTGGATTGGATTTGACCACCGATTAATTATAGTTACCGTAATGGAAAGTATTTTTTTTGTAACAAAGTCGACTCTAAAACGGTCTTTGAGACATGAATGAGACAAGAATCATAACGAAACAATGTACCTACCTTGGTAACTATTTGATAACGTTAGTAGTTCGAGTTTTTGCATAGTGGCTGCAGGTACTATATAGTACATTGAAAAGGAATGTTCTCAGATAAATTATGATCATGGAGAGATGGATATAAGAAATACATAAAGGAATCGCATTCTTTATGTGATGAAAATATCGATTCTTTCTCGGTTTATTCAACAAGAAACAACTACTTTTCTGGCTAAATGCCAGGACGAACATTGAATGACTTATATCTATTGAACACGATAAGGATTTGAAACCGGAATCTTCTAGATAAAATTATGTATATGCACATAATATTCTCAATTCTGAAGAAAACAACTACTTTCCTGGATATTTGCCACGTCGAAAATTAAATTATATCTGTTGAACATCCAAAAGGAAAGCATGAAAAATAACAATCCTCTGGAATTGAGAATTGACATTCTCTCTTGAATCGAATAAATGATAATGATGTATTATGATATAATAAAAGATAACTCACCAATATGTTCAGTATTGAAACAGCAAATTGAAAGGTATAGGAAAAGTATACTTGTACAAACTCGGATCTTGATGAGCATGAAATTCACAAAAAAATTATTCGTATCAGTGATATAGGAATTATATCTCTCACAAACAGGTTACCCATATGACTTTATCCGAATCAACTCATTCCGGATTTGAAACCCTCCTCGGTTACCTTATGTCCAGTTATTCTTTCAGCCACTGTTCATGATATTCACAATGTTATCCATCTCTCTATAATATAACTAAAACTATAACGAACTGATATCTGGAAATTATTATGTGTTGACATTCACTTCCTGTCATCTGATGGTAGTTTTTGTTTCTGGATGTATGACAAATTGATATTGATCGAGCGAAATACATACAAGATGAGGGGAAACAATCTGCTCATGTTTCCAACATTCGAAAGTGTGTGTATATCTATACTTGGATGTGAAGAGAGGAGTTTTTTCAAAGTGACATAATGATAAAGAAGAATTTTTTGATGAAATAATCGAATAAGGATAGAGTTCCATCTGGAGAATTGTGTAATAATTCTTATTCTCTTCCAGAGTTTCGTTATCGTTATACCATGATTCAATTTCAAAAACATATTATACAAGTAGCTGTCAGAAAATTGTGACATATATTCTAGAGATAAAATGCATTACACACACGTGAAAATATAATACAAATCGTGTATAAATATCCACATCATTGGGACAACTGACACAACATGGCAACACCTCGCATGATCCAGTGCGCTTCTGGTTTTGATGAAGGCAATTTCATCGCGATCACGAAATTAGTTGAGTGTCCTGTGGTCGATAAAACGCCTCTTCTTTCAGAAGTTTTGTACACTGGACACGTATAGCTCTTCTTCTCCAACAAATCGGTCCGTTTTATGGGTTTCAGCCACATCTGAAAATTATGAAATTTCAGTATAGGCAGTACCTCCCTACCTACAGCAAGAACGTGGAACGTTAACTCAACAGGATGGTCCTTCTGGCCGTAACCAATAAAAATGGTGAACGACATGACTCACTATGTAATTTTCCCAAGAATACTCAGATCAGATCAAATTTTGTTCTGAACTTTCAGGAAATATTTTCACAGATCATGAAGATACCTCAAATTACGAAGATATACCTCAGAAAAATATTGGTTCACTACTACACTTGGAGGGAAACAGTCTAGAAGGAATTTTCTGATGTCAGAACTGTTGCTGAAATTCCATCACCGATATTCAGACGGTGAATAAATCTGAAATATTCAACCGGAAGCATAACATTATATTGTCTACTGACCCTACACTAGACCTATTCTTCTTCTTTTTCTTCTCTGCACAGGTGGGCGGGTGCGTAGACCACTGCACTCAGGCCTCTTCAGTCGGGCCCATTGTGCGCCCACTTGTCCTGTGAATCAGCTTGGCATGCCGATTTCTTCGAAGAAATTCAGCAGCTTCCTCAGCTGAGTGCCTTTCACATCCTTAGGGTGCAGTACAATGCTTCCAAAGGCAGCTTTCCTCTTATGCACCAGCGCGGGGCATTCAGTGAGTATGTGTGATGATGTTTCATCCTTCTCCAAGCACCATCTAGAGATGGGATCATCTTTGATCCCTATGAGTTCTAGGTGCCTGTTGAGGTGGCTGTGCCCAGTGAAGAGCTCAACTACCATCTTGAGATACCTTCTATTAAGTGACAGGATCTCTCTCGTGAGCCTTTCTGAAGGTTCCTTCATATGGAGCTTTGATTTCCCATTCCTGGTGTTCCGCCATGTTTCAAGAAAGTGCCTCTGTAGCATTCCCTTCATGAAGGACATAGCCGTACTATCGGGTATTCCCAATATCGGTTCTGGTCCAATGGGTGTCGTTCCTGAACCGATCTTGGCTAGTCTGTCTGCCTCCTCGTTCCCCGGGATACCAGAGTGTTTGCAACTATATGCTGTTGAAGATTCAACTACGATTCCAGCATTATTAGGAATAATTCGACTCCAAAGTTGAATCTGGAAAAGTTTTTATACATCTTCTATATGCCATAAAATATTGAATCAGTTGTAACATTTGATCGAATGAAATGAGATCGGAGATATCTGACAATTCTTTATTGTTAATCATTGCCTTTATACGCGTGCATATATTGAAGTATAAGGGATGAATCAACCTGTTGAGTTAACAATCCTTGGTACAAACTGACAAACTGCGGGGAAACATAGAGAATTAACTAGATTTCGACATATACAGGGTGATTCAGAGTTGTAGTGAGTTTCTCTTATCCTCAGAGATATTTGAATCATTATTGAAAGTTGCATAAGTGAAGTTTTAATCCAAAATAAAAGAGCACGTATGGCACCTCACGCCTGAACTCAAATTCATCACATCTGAATAAAGTAACAAAACATGCATGATTCCATCTGAATCAAATAATTCATCTGATGAAGGCCAATTACGATCATGAATCAATAATTACCCACAAACTCACTGAGGGAAAGAAACGCCTTTGCTTTGTATTATTTATCGTGCAATTACACCAAAGAACGAAGCACTTAATATTTCCTAGGATTTTCCAAAATGAAACGTGAACATTGATATCCATAATTAATATTTTATATTATTTTTATTAAGCTAACCACTGACATACTAGGTTGATTTCGATACCACTTCAAAGTCATGAACGACAGCTTGTGGGTTCCTGCGTATGGAGCAAAACGTTTCCAGGCAAGCAAGCAAGCAACTGCTACGATATGACTACTAGCAGGCTAGATAGAGTAATTAGTCGGTGGGCTGGGCACGAATTCAATCTGACCCTAAAGGCCCCCTCCGCACACGGGTCGATCGGCGACATGGGCGACGCGATTCGAATCGTACGACGGTCTCCCCTCTACTCGACTTCCTAAGCAAAGCATCTGGATCCCGCACACGGGTCGTTTAGTGGTCGTCTAGAAACGTACGATTTAAGATCTCCTCGTTTTCAGTCTCACGCGATTAGCAAGGAAGCAGTTTGATCGAGTGAATCTTGCGTCTCAATGAAGAAAGTTGTTCAATAATTTTTCAATCATTGTGAATATTTGTGTTACCTACCTTAGTTCTTTACTTTCAGTAACTAGAACATATAATCTTATGTTTCCAATTTATACTCTCAACTTTAGGAACTGTTTCATTTTTTGAAATATATGAATCTTACATCAATGTTATTAGTACTATGTGTTCTTCTGCGCTAACACATTCCCTCATATTTGAATCCATATAATTTATGGCTGGAGCAAGAGTTTCCACTAAATCAATATAATATATATGATTCTTTCGACATTCTATAAAATGCCAGAAATTTTGTGCCACTCTCTTGCATTTCACTTGCAGTAACAAAAAGTCGAGTGTGAAAATTTCGTGCAATGTACGGATGCACCCATAAACTTCGTTGTCTTCTTCTTCTCCTGATCTGCCGGTGTCACAAAAACATGAATATGTCCTCCTCGCCATTGGAACTGCTCATTTTTAGCGAAACATTTATTTTTGAAGTTGCAAAAAATAGAGTAACTAAGTTGATCAGACGCGAGTCGACTAGACAAAACGTCGACCCATATGCGGTTGACACACACTCCCGTACGAATGCAGAAATTGTGACGTCATTGCAATCGCGTCGCCCATGTCGCCGATCGACCCGTGTGCGGAGGGCCTAAATGATGCGTAGGCAGGCTTTTAGACCAATCAGGTCGATTTTGGCCTTGGCAGTAAATTCGAATCGCGGCTATTAATTCGAATCACCAAGTCACATACATTAAATAATGATCATTGAATAATTATTCTTCAAGTGTCTGGTAATAGTGACTAGCAATTGATAAAGCATGACATGTGATAGATACTGGAATTTAATGTTCAGTGAAAATGGCTGTTATTAAACTTATATTTTTTATTCAGATGTACATGTTACATCGTCTTCATCTATAAATTTGATATTTTCACTTTTAATGTTAGGGTATTCATTAACTTGTTCTATCTTTTTCGTCAAAAGTCCACAGAATGTTTTCGATAGTCCATATATGGGTCTTTCCACATTTTCATGTATGAATGATAGCAGCAGTACATATATATTTGGTCAGGACCACAGATTAAGGCTATATTCCGAATTCAACTGGTCAGTACTGTCAGTAGATCCACTGAATCTGCTAAAAATTTGTGTTCCGAAATATAAAATCAAAAATACAGTGCTGAAATTTGGGACATGTTTTCATGGTTTTCATCAGTATTCAGCAGCAGTTGATCAGCTGGTGAAATTTGTCAGTCTGTAGTTTCTCGTTTATCTGAACTAGATATTAAATAGCAATCGATTCTCGTAGCCTCCATAGTTTCCACGATTATTGACGATGACGATTCAGGCTCGAGTGATAAAAAATACTTGGACATTTTGATGCCATTTCTCATGATGTACCAGATTGAGGATTGAAGGATTCATAGAAAACGTAATGATGATGAATTTAGGGGACATGTTAGGTTTATTTAGTTATTCATTTAGCCAATGCTGCTTCTTCTTTTGTTACCTCTACTACTTCATACTCAATATTATTCTCAGCGCTTATTATTTCAATAACAGGTATTTTGTGATATTGAGAATTATATTATTAACAACGGAAAAGAATATTACATTCCTTTCCCCCCTAAAATAATGACAGTTCACTGAAGCCACACTACCTTCTGATACTCAGCAATTTCAGCAGAATGTTGAGTCAAATTTTTTGGAATGAATAGTATGTCATCTGCTCACAAGCTTCTGTCACATTCAGTGAATTTTTTGATTTCGGAATGAAGAATCTGCAGATTCAGTACTGTTAGTTGAATTCGGAATATAGCCTAACAAACGACTTGAACTTCTGTCAGCAATAATTCCATAGAAATGTTCATAGTTCATCTGTAAATCAATTTCAATAGATTCAGGTGCACTGATGGCTGGTGAATTTCCAGATTTGAACAGATCTATGAATTGTTGTCTTATCTCGTTTTCCACTGGCCTACTTCATTCGTAAAACATAAGTACTTAAAGTTAAATAGCTATGGTAACAATAAGGCACTAACTACATTTCACACATTTCACAAGGCATATGTCAGGATCTCGTGCCTTGGTCTTGTGTTGTGAATGCCTTTGTATCTTTCGTGTACTGCTTTCAGGGACTGATGGAATATACACACTAGTAAATCCTGTCTGATGTTGACATTTGAACCTATGTTCGAATTATACTCCTAATCCTGAACATTTTTCAGTAGAACGAATTGAACTATATATGAGCCTTCCATTTGTTGCTGTTTATATCATATCGAAAATCTGCCATCACATGAGTTTTATCTTCATTATTTAACAATAAACAGGGCACATGATTCTAATATAAAAACAACTGAAGCCGTATGACGCATGCGGGAATCTTTCAACGTCGTGATTAGTCTTTGAGCCTGCCTATGCCTCATTACGGGTCAGATTGAATTCGTATGCTGTTGCTGGACCAATTATGGTCACTGGGTAGAGACCGCCAATTACTGCGGGTTCGTATTGTCATGATTACAGAACACAACCGACTAGGTACCTATCTAATCCAGTCATTTGGTGACGGAAAGCACTGGATTCAGGAAAAAATTGCTGAAGAATTTTTCCCGACGGATCTATATGGTTTTTGTGGTGCTGAATCTGAAAATCTAGTTATCGACTAGATTCGAATATGGCTTCACCACGGAAATCACAATGAACCATGAAAATTCGGGACTTATTGTGATTTTTTGCTTATAACTCCGAAAGGACGTGATTTAGAGGAAAAATACATAGAGTTCCCTGAAAATTGACAATAGTTGTCCAAAATATTCGTATTTCCGATTTCAAATTATTATACATCGCCAGGCTAGTGTTTCCGCCTAGTGTGTCTCACCATGGAGTATCCTGAACCTCATTCCTCAACATTCATACCTTTATTTTTAATTTCTCTCCAAATCACAAATATACATCAATTAGGTACGCTACATTCTGAATTCAGCACGGAAATTAAGATTTGTCTAGTACTATTGTCACGAATAGGGTTATTTTTCTTAATTTCATTCAAATTCATAGAAGGTTCGAAGTCATTGAATGGTCGCGTCTTTGTTTATTAATTCCATAATTTTCGAATCGTGAACGAACTTTTTTCCATAGTAGTTGAACATAAACACAGGCGTGACATTGACTTCAACGAACCTGGACTATCGACCTGATTTCCTTACTGTCACATTTCCGAAAATATAGACAACTATTTAAAAGACGTAAGGAAGCGGGTTCGACAGTTCGACTACCGGTTCGACTGCGAGTTGGACTGCCAGTTCGAGTTCTAGTCCTGTTTTTTGAGTACGAGTCCGGAAAGTTTGAGTTCTATCAATTGTAAGTTCGAAAAGTTGCCACTGTGCCCGAACCTTCGGAGTTCAGTTAATTTGTACATGTAGGGTAAGTTAAGGTTTTATTTCATTGTTATTCATTTCAAAGAATAAATGTGTGTATTTGTGTTGTTTGAAAATCCTTTCGAGTATTATTTATTATTATCACTTCTGAAGTTCATTCTCTAATGAATCTAGAACACAACTTAGGCAACCCCCGCCTACAGTTTGTGACACTATTTTCTACCCTCTTGCAACAACCCAGATTGTTACAGTTGCTAAGTTATTTGTTTGAAAATTAATGTTATTTATCTATTTTTCGTGAGTGAGTTCAAATTCCGAACGATAATTATTGTAAACTTTGTGATAAGCCACTGAACGAATGTGCAATCGAAGTTATACCACCCACCCAACGCTGTTACACCGCTCGTAGCAGAACATATTCTGTTTCTCCATGCTATGAGTGGTTGTGACACGACATCTGCGCTTTATAGCAAGGGAAAAAATAAATTCGTCAAGACTCTCATGAACAACCCTGCTCTTGGAACCACTCTGAAGGCCTTCAAAAACTCTGTCTGCGATGAATGATAAGCAGGAGGCTACTGAGGAATTGCCAGGAACCTCGTAAGGAACTTAGAGTATCAATATTTCTGCTCATTTAACCATTATATCACCACAGTATCCCAAAGCGAAAAGGCCACGAAAGAAATGAACTCCCCGCAATCGACCGTTTACTGCCTCAACTGCACTAAATGAATTTTTGGATGATTGCCTATTTATTTTCATCCGTACAACCATGAGTATCTTTTAGAAGCAGACATAATATTATGGTTTCAGTTTTGACTTCAGAACCAATCAACGAAGGGCGCAGATTCCGGGGACTGTGGCTGTGTCTGAAATACGAATATTTTGAATAACTTGAAAACTATGGTCAATCTTCAGCGCGCTCTAGCGGCTGAATCAGATAATACAGCGAGCTGATTCAATCTTTTTTTATGTAAATTCAATTTGTTGTTATTTTCATTTGTACTAATATTTCTCTATATCAAGTCGTTTCAGAGTTATGAGCGAATAACTAAAACAACTCCCGATTTTTCATAATTTTCTGCCATTTTCATGGTGAAGCCATATTCGAATCTAGTCGATAACTGAATTTTCAGATTCAGAATTCCAAAAAACTTATGGATCCGTTGAGAAGAATTCTTTAGCAATTTTTTCCTGTCCAAACTACCAAATGATTGGACTAATCGTCAATGGGTGTAGAGTAGAATATAACCTGAGTTGCCGTAAGTACAGAAAAAGAAGGAAAAGTTTATGTGTGCAGCAGGGGTTGCCAAAATAGCCATAGGGACCAACTAGCTAGTTAGCAGCCCCCTCTTCAACTTCTACTATTGTTATACCAATACAACGGTGAAAAAATCTAATAGTAACAATGTTGGAATATTGCGTTGCTCTAATATGTATAAGCAATTCTAATACAATTATTGTTTATTAGCCTCATTCACATTCAAATGTTATCATTACTTGTGCCTGAACATTCACGAAACCAAGGTGAATTAACAAACTTTCTGAGCATACCACGACGGTGGGCTCACACGGCTCTCGCTATGGATTATATTTGAAGCAACTGTATCCATCATCAATATAAATCCCTGTTTTATGATTCAATCATCTCAACCATAGATTAGGATTCGTTAATCTATGTCTCAAGTCTACCTCTAGATAGGTGTATTTATGAAGTGCTTCTACAGGTACTGGAATTTTGAACATATTCAAAGATACTCACTATCGGAACGACATCAAAAAGAACCTTCGGCAAAGATTCGTCTAACTCCATATTATCAGGATTCCAACGAGCACCGTCCAGAAATAATCCATAAACGTACACACCATCTGCTGGTGGTTTTGAAAAACTCATGGCCTTCTGTACCTGTAATACAAATATTCCAACCTTGGTATTTGGATTGATGAGAAATTAACATGGGGAAAGCATATAGACATCCTCATAGGAAAAGTATCTCCCATTATTGGTGCTTTGAGAAGATGTCCTAAACTTAGTACATATACATCAAATATTATTCTCTATTCACATATACTCAGTCGAATTAACTATCTCATGAATATTTGGGGATCTTGTTCCAAAAATAGTTTCAACAAAATTTCTGTTCTATATAAAAAGGCATTGAAAGTATTGTATCGTCTTCCATATGATACTCCAACGAATCAACTGTATAAGGAAACAAACACATTTTCTTTGGAAGAGCACTTTTTAATCAATACTCTAAAAATTTCCTATTATATCATCAACAAAAAGCTTAAATCAAATTTTATATTGATCAGGAATTCCGAAATTCATGATCATCACACTAGACAATAAGCTGCAAATTCTAGACTTGGGCAAAATAAGTTTACACGCATGAGGCGATTTCGAAATTCAATGAATTACCAGATGATATCAAAAACAGCCCAAATATTATGCAATTCAAAAATAAAGTTAAGAAATATATTTATATGCAAAGGAATGATCAAAGCTGAAAGACTATGAATTTCCATTTTTCTTTTTTTTTTTCACTGTTTTTATTTTTCCCCTTCTTGTTCACTATAATATGACTGTATCTTAATGATATGTAAGTTTTGTTCACTATTTGTGATTTCAATTATACAACAGTCGATAATACTTCATGAATGATCTTATACCAGGAATTACTGTCTGATCATTCATGTCATTCCTACTAGGAAATTAATTATACTTTATATATTATTTGTATGAAATGTATCAATGAAGAAGAGAATGTAATGCAATAACTGAAATAAATAATAAAAAAAATATATATATTTTGCGTGATGATACGATTCTATTAATACTAATAATCGTATTCCAATATATACGGTGTATACATGGGCGCCGCCAGTATCAATTTCAGGGGGGTTACTCTTAACTGATAAAGTACTAAGTATAGATAATTAGATAATCAAACATCAATCAACGAACAAATTTGGACAGCATCTTAGACCCTTCAAGTTTTCTAGTTGTCATTCAAACAGTAACTTGAAAAATATTGTTGTGTGTATTTTTTCCTCGACAGGATGGTGCAAGCGCAATTGGTATGAATTCTAAATCACTCAAAAATCTTCTCACCTCATAGTCAAATGCGAGTAAATCGATAGGTATCGTGTATTTCCTGGCAAAATTCTGTTGAGCACCGGTAAGAAACGCTTGAGTGAAGAAAAATCCTGATAACCAGAATGTGGGTGGTGGACCTTCATCCATCCATTTCTGAAAAATAATAATTGATGTCAATGATGTCCTAACGAATTCTGAATGCAAATGTTCGTTGTTGGTGAAATTTTTACCAAATTGTAGATTCATGTTTCGGATTTTCAATCCGAATTCCACAGTTTCACAGTTAAAGCTGATGACTTGATCATTTTATACAGGCAACAACCTCAAATTCCTCAACGCCCTGTGGCAAATGTGAGTGGTTTCAAACCATATTATTTATGTAGATATAACTTGATTCAATTAAAGAGATTTTTGTTGTGATAGTATAGTAGTATAATTTCTGTCTAATCTGATGTTGCTATAGGAATGAGGATTATTATAGTTAATTGTATAATAAATATTGAACACAAAGAGAGAGAAACTCGAAGTCATTACCACATACTAGTTCATAAAATGAACGACAATGGTAGATAACGAGAGAAAAACAACTACTTTACTGGCTATATCCCACGCAGAACATTGTATTACATCCACCCGAAATCTATGCGATAGTTCGTATAAACGAATAAAATCGCAAGTGTTTCCTTCCTAAACGCTGAGCTGCGCTTAAGTGGTTCAGGAACGCTGACTACCTGCAGACCGGTTTCGAGCTCTTGGCTCTCATCAGTACAGGGCGGTCCCAGATAGCTTCTTGACCGCTATCTGGTGCGAACCTGACCCAACGTAAACGCATCTCAGCATTTATACCATACGAGGCGTTCGACGTCTGCGACAACTGTATCTCTCTATCAGAATATTAATGTATAGTATTTCAAATGGCGCATTCGGGTACAATTTGACTACGTTTGCTAAAGCGTATTATAAAAATACAAGGATCCGGAGATGAGCAAAGCAGAATTGTTTTCAGAAAATTTGAATTGGATCACCTGATGTCAAAATGAATGTCAGCTTTATATAAGAAAACTGAACCAAATCTCACACAGTTCAAAGGTCCCGATGAAAACCCTAATACATGATTGAACAGTTATGAATATCTATGTATTTCAATGATTAATAATTTTCATTTTCATTTATCGAAATAGTTCAACTCACAAATATAACATGCTCGTCCCCTGAATCAGACATTATCGACATAGATTGGCAACATTTCAATATTTTCAAAAGGTAAACAGTAAGAGCGCCTGCGCAGTGGCGTTCATTGTACAAGTCCTCTCAAAGGCGTCCTATTTGGGAATAGCTCAAGTGCAACATACAATGGGCTCCTCTGGTACATAAAACATCAAAAAAGTAGTTACTTGAGTGGGTATGGAAATTCTAACCGAAGCATGGGTTGGAGCCCCAGTTAGTCCATGGATATTATTTGTATTTGTATGCTTCCCTAACCCCGCACAAGTTTCGTTTGTCCCACTGCTAGGACCGACGAGAAAATGAATTTGAAAACAAAAAATAATCAGCCAATGATAAGAAACACCACTCCAGAACAAATGTGGTTCAATACAGTATCACAATCGCGGGACCAAAAGACGAAGTACAGTAATCGCAAGCATGGATCTACTTTGATATCAGTGAATGAAATCGCACAACATGAATACAGATTGATATAAATTGATAGTACTCATATGAAAATGTAAAACAGTAGTTTGAAAAGTGTACGAACAGTTACATACGGATTCTTCTACATATTGCTCACCTGTAAGAATGCCAACCTAGCCAGAAAATCGTTGACGTAACTGCCTAAAGGTTTCAATGAGGGATACGACTTCTTGGCCCACATCTGGGGTATCTTTCCTGTCAACATACTTGTCACCACTTCTTCGAGATCGACGGACATCACTATTTGACCTTGATAATAACATATGAACATCAGTATAGATCTGATTTCTAAACAGAATCACAAAATACATTGCACCTCTCATCGATTTACAGTATTCAGCTCATACACTTTTGTTATCTAGCCAGAAACAAATGTCATATATTTTTTTCATGGCTTTGTGGCGTGGACACGAAAGTACTTATATATATTTCGAAAGAATTACCCTGTATTCCATATTCTGGATATCTACGTTGTGATCACTTCAGAAGAACTGTATGACATGCCCCGATAGTCGTTGTTAACTATTTTTGAATTATTACAATTTTCATATAGTATTTTGATTTTGGCACTACACCTTCTTTAATTGTAATTTAGGTAGTATAAGATGTAATTCAGAAAGTATAAGTTGTAATTCAGAATAGTTAGTTGTAATTCAGAAAGCGTTATATGTAATTCAGATTAGTGCAATGTGATTCAGAAAGTGTAACTTGTAATTCAGAATAGTAAAATGTAATTCAGAAACCGTCAATTGTAATTCAGAAAGCACAACTTGTAATTAAGAAAGTATCACTTATGATTCAGAAACTAAGAACAACCGGTGTGCTTCCATTCTCCTTGAGGTCCGGGTGTTTTAGAACAACGACTTGTTTATCTATGAAGAACAGAATATTGACCAGGCCAAAGATACAATTGTTGGAGGTGATTGTGCTAGGGCTGCACAACACACCAACATTCACCAAGCTGCAGCTCTGGCATTTCAAGATATGCCCGTTGGTCGATAAATATAAAATATTGATGTTCACCACACAATGAACCATTCGTTGATTTCTATTTCCTACCCTCATTTAAGTCCATAGTATTTATGAATTACAAGTGATACTTTCTGAATTACAAATTACGCTTTATGAATTACAATTGACTATTCTGAATTACAAGTTACACTTTCTGAATTACATTTCACTAATATGGATTACATGTTATGCATTCTGAATTACAATTGACTCTCAATTAATTATTCTGAATTACAAATTTCACTTTCTGCCTTACATTTTACTAATCTGAATTACAACTTGCACTTTCTGAATTACAATTGAAAAAGGTGTAGTACCCATCTTCTGAAAATGCTATTCATTGTAATTTTCTAATAAATCCTCCAAATTTTCAACAGAGTTTGTATACATGTTGATATTCGAAGAGAAAATAAACATTTTGCCACAAATTATAGACGATGCTCAAAAATATTATTTTTCATTTTCCTCAAATGAAATGCCTTGTAACCTTCTTTCAAATTACTGAAGGCGCCGTTGAATTCAACTACTGATGAATGGAAAGGACTTCTTCATGGAAATTATTTTAATACTGATTGTTCTCTTCCCAGATAGCACAATGTCATTCATAGAACGTCCATAGGATGTTCCCAGAGAATATATTAATAATCCCAGAATATTCCCACAATGTGATACAAATACATACGAATACATACAAATACATACGAAAATACTGTCAAATCCTAAATAAAATCATAAAAACATCAAAAAACCTGAATTATGAAAAACAAATAAAACAATCTTCAGATAAAATAAAATCCACTTGGAATATGATATCGTATTTCACCGGAAAACAGAAAAAAATTGAAAATATCAGTTTGAGAAATGAATATGGGGATTTGTTAATAGAACCTACAGAAATCGCAGAAGAATTCAAAGATCAGTTCAAGCAGATAAGTCAGAAAGCTACCCCCAATACTAATAGTCGTTCTTCTAGTAAGGAATACCTGCACAATTCTCATTTCAATAATATAAACTCATTCCTTTTCTCTCCGCTAATTGAGAGCGACATTCTAGAGAGTATAACTGCTCAAAAACCTAAGTATTCCACTGGACTAGACAACATACCAATGACACTGATAAAAAGACATAGTGATGCTCTAAAGAAACCACTTGCCTATTTGTTCAACCTCTCAATCTCAACTGGTATATTTCCGGATTCATACAAAAAATCTATCATCATCCCGCTCTTCAAAAAAGGAGATAAGACAGATACAAATAATTACCGCGGCATCTCACTGCTTTCAAATTTTTCAAAATTACTGGAATGTATCGTCAACAAAAGAATAACATCATATCTTAGCACACAAAAAATTCTCACAGATTCACAATTCGGATTCAGGAAAAACATGAATACTACGGATGCTACTTTTCAAATGATAGAAAAAATTAATGAAATTTTAGAATCAAAACAGTATCCTCTTGGAATATTTTGCGATCTCTCTAAGGCATTTGATTGCGTTAGTCATAATATACTTCTAAATAAACTAGACTACTATGGAATCAGAGGGCTTGCTAAAGATTGGTTCAAATCATATCTATCACGGCGAATGATGTGTGTCAGAGTGAAATATGAAATATCAGGAAACGTATCATATCAAGATTCAGAATTTACTCATATACAGGCAGGAGTGCCACAAGGTTCAGTGTTGGGCCCTACACTATTTCTGATCTATGTGAATGACATTGTTTGTAACTTTCCTACAGTTACCTTCACACTGTTTGCTGATGACACAAGTATACTAGTTACGGGAAAAAATTCGGACCAGCTCACTACTTCGTCAGTAGGGATAATGGAGGGAGTATCAGACTGGTTTCTAGCTAATAAATTGTCTCTCAACTATTCTAAATCGAATAATATACTATTCAGCCTTTACAAAGATATGGATGATATCACTATTCACCTCGATCAAAACTCTATTGATTCTGTGAATTCAACTAAATTCCTAGGAATAAACATAGATTGCAAGTTCAACTGGCTGGAACATTCCTCTGCACTTCAGTCTAAATTGAGTAGGTCAATTTTTGCTTTACGTACCATTAAGAGAAATACCAACCTCTCGACCACAAAATTAGTATACTTTGCTTATTTTCACAGTATCATGCAATATGGTATAGAATTTTGGGGTACATCTATATACGCAGCAGAGGTGTTTGTAATACAAAAGAAAGCCATTCGAGTATTATTTAGTTTAAATTATAGAGACTCTTGCAGAATCCTTTTCAGAGACCACAAGATATTTACCTTAACGAACACCTATATATTTAAAATAAGTGTGTTAATACACAAAAAGCGAGCAACACTGACACGACCATCAAACAAACATACATATCCAACTAGAAATCAAGATTATATTTTGCCAAATTATAACTACAACAGATCCAGGAATGGACCACTGTATTCAGGAATCAAAGTTTATAACCACTTACCCTCCAGTTTGAAATCTTTAAATAATTTGCGATTCAAAGCAAGGTTGAAAATAATTTTGCATGAGAATGTTTATTATCATTTAGATGAATACTTCTCTCACAATTTAGAATTAGATATCACATGAAACTTAGTATTTATGTACCGTGCTCGACTTTCTCGATGCTTTACGCTAGATAATCGGATATACCTTTTGTTAAATTATAATGTAATATTGATACCACTGTTCTTCCGATTCTGAGAAATAAATATATCTATCTATATCTATCTATCTAATATTCTAGGGCCGTTTTATGAACATTCGAAATGGACTGTTTTGAATATTCGGAGAATATTCCTAGTATATTGAACGAGAAGGAAGAATATTAAAAAAAAACTTGCTCCGGTGGAGATGCGAACCTAGTATCTTATGATAGAATTTTTAAGAACCTGTATTGAAGTTGTTCATCTTGATTTCTGTTATATCAATACAGCGCATAGTATCATAAACACATGAATATATTAGATAACTGTATGCAGTCTTCTGCTGCATGTGGATGGTCCTCTGCATGGTGCAGAGGTGGCTGGTGTTAGCTAAGGAACGTGAGTGTATATGCGAGATGTTAGTCACAGAGGCCTATCTCCTAGGGCTGAGCCCTTCATATAGGTGGTCTCACTGAGGATACCCAGAGGAGGGGGGGGGGGAGCTGATCAATTGCTATCAGTGATGAGTAAGTTTGTCTTGGTGATGAAGGAAAACTAAAATTAGAGAAACTAAAACCTCCTTCTTGTTTGGCTCGACCAGACCTACCGGCACGCCGCGAACCAGAAACCTTACCATTTCGTCACAAACCTTATTTATGAATAAAATGAATAGCGAGGGATAATCAGCATTGAGGCTAGAGAATGATAGGTTGTGTCAGGGTAAACATTTGGAATATTGATAAAAGAATAGGAACATAATCATCATATATCCTGAAATGAGTACATTTGAACGTTGTCAGAATATTCATAGAATATTCTGTGCTGTCTGAGTTCGTTCTGAATTATGATAATTCAATCAGTCGAACATTTCCACGATAATTTTATTGCATACTGGTTCTTCCAACTGGCACATTGAAATTAACCATGACCTCAAGCAACAGGGTGCAAAAAAATGCATGTGTGTCAAAGATCGTATTTTTTACCGTGAATAGTAGAATTCTGGTAGTATCCATAGCATTTCAATTTTCAGATCCTGATAGTCTAAGATCCGACTGCAATATTACTTCGTTCATTATTTATTCAATGGAGATCAGATATTCAAAATATTCAAATACATTCAGTAATAGGAGCATATATTTTTACCGCGTTGCCTATCGAAATTTGGCAGCAAGTATTTTTATGTAGAATAATATTAATTGATCCCCAGACGCTCACGTTGTCTTGAAGTTCGTGATTAATTATTCAATTTTCTCCAACACAAAGTCTCCTTGAATAAATTCACTACGGTTTGCGCCATTGGTTGGGAACACTAGCTTTCTACGCATGCACAATCACTTTTTTGGTCTATATACAGAATCTCCCAAAACTAAACGTCATCATTTGGAAGGCTGGTAGTCCAGCTCAATAACTAATCAGAATATCACAATATGACCTTGATAAATAGTGATAGTTCTGGAGATATTGTCACTTTTGAGGATTCCATGAAAATCGAAACCTTTGATCGGTATTTCCAGTGCCACAGGTACAGTTATAAACATACTCTGAGTATGTGTGCATGGATTTGAGAAATAATTCCATGACACCTTGCCATGATGAGCAGATTATCTGAAGCCGAATGATAAATAACAAATTAAAATTAAACATATCCTCATAATTACCCTTTATTGCTTTCTGTACGTTCTTCAAACTGATCCTGATCACAGTCAGCAGAACATTGAATCTGTTCATCTCCTGGACGAGCACCGTGTTCATGCTTTGCGAGTAGGACACCGGATACTTCTCCATGGCTTCATCGCGATCGAAGTTGTCAGGCAGCTTACCTAATATGTCTGCTGCAACTTCCATCACAACTTCGTCTGGTGATTTAGAAGAACCGCTCGAAGACATGGCGTCCTATATTATCATGTATAACAAACATATGAGGAAGCACACACGGAAAAATAGTATTGTATGAATCAACAAACATACTGTTAATTCTCTGAGTGTCATATATCCACGACAAATTATTTTGTTACTGCAACAAATTTGTCTTGTCAGTTTTCAACTTGAAATTCATTTGAAATAATTAATAATTGATTCAAATCAATGGCAAGATGTGGTTGAATGAACAAAGATTATTTTGTTCCTATAATATGATATCTTCGCTATGATGAACTCATTCTGTTGATTGAAATGATCATGTAATTGATTCCAGAAATGGTTGTTTATAAAAACATTTTATGATTTCATTTTGAGGAGTTTTCAGATGTTTCGAAACAGATTTTCCTGCAGTACTCCAGATCGATATCAGATACTGTATCAGATACTGTGTTTTGGAGTAAACTGAGATGATTCGATTTCAAGTATTTGAGAGGTATGAAAAGACCTCAATTTTCATAATATATCAACAACGGGAGATATTTGTTCCTAAGCAGCTGAATATGAGATGACCAAGATAGAGACTTGTCAATAGTTAAACCTAATAAGTAGTTAAAATTTTTCGTAGGGTTTGTATATAAATTTCCGAATTTCAAAGGATCGATTTGAGGAACAGGTATAACTCTTTTCGAGATGAACATGAAAGAAATTCATCGAGATTGAATGTCAATTTATGATCTTGTAACCATAATGTAATTGAAGCAAGACCTCCTTCGATCTGGTTCTTTATTTCTTGAATATTCTGTTCGTAATAAATGACAGTTGTGTCATCGGCAAATGATTTCAAATTATCATGAGTTCGAAGTTGAGGTAGAATTTATTTAAATCAGAAATAAAATAGATCCAAGAATTGATCCTTATACAATCAAATATCCAGTAAATATATAACGATTTCACTACTCTGATTACATCACTCACCCTTTCCTCCTTCAGTTGCTTTTGAAAATAATGTCATTGTCAATGTGTTGACTTTTTTCAAATTTCCAAACATACCTTCATCAAATATAAGTCCTAGCGAGAGCATGATAAATAGAAACAAATCGTCGAGGATTAATAATTATCAATTGAAAGATGTCATCAGAAAACCTTCAAGACTCATTCATCAGACTTGCACTCCGCTCAGAATGGTCTGTCAGACAACTAGTATAATGAAGGGTGTTCAAAAAAAGGGAGCCCTTTGCTAGGATAGGTAGAATCCTGCAAAATATGTTGGATTTGCTTAGTAGAACGTAACGACATTATCATTCAAGATAAAGGGTGTTGAACGAAAGTTTCATACACATGCAGCATTGTGATGAAATTCTGTTAGAATATATGTTGGAATCCGACACATAGCATGAATTCAATTCCAGATCAATGATCATTTATTTTTTGAATGTTTGTGGATCAGATATGAAGTCATGAAAGTTATGTTCAACTGTGTGTTGCAACTTTTGACGTGAATATACCTCTGTAGCTTATTCTTTCTCCTTAAGATACCACCAAACTGTCGAGTTCATGTTTTAGGTCACTTTAGCTTTGAAATAATAATATTGCTTTTGGTTTTCAACAAATATTCCTCATTCCATCAGTCAGACGAACTCGATAAGCCCAGTCAGCACATCCTGTCGTCGTCAACCTCGAGTTATGTCGAACTACTCCTCACCGAATCGCGTTTATCTATAGAACGGCAGAGCTTTGGAATTCATTTGTCAAAGGAAGCATTTCCAAGAACTCTTATACACTCATGGAAAAAAAAACATGTAACTTTCTTAATTCTTGTCCGATTTTGGTGAAATTTCAAATGTTTCGAAATGTTTACCTGAATGTTAGTTCCTAGAAAGAGCTGATGGCTTGATCATTTCACATGTAAAAACAAATATTACTATTTCACGCTCAACTTCTCGAGTTCCTGTGGCAAAAGCGAGTGATTGAACTCATCAGCTTCATCATGTTTTGTATTGAATTGTTATCCCTTTTTAAGAGAATGGTTACTGATTCATGTCGATATCTTATTTTTAAGAAAAGATACATGTGTTACAAAAAATTATAGATTTTTATAATTTGCAGAACCTACATGAACTCATCAATCTACAAGTGAAACAATTTCCACCTCGTCTTTTCAGCACTCATCAGCAGAGGGAAACCTTAATCAGTAAAAACAAATGGAAAGCAGACCTCCTAGATGTAGAGGTTGAATTACAGCATTCAACCACCAAGGCATCGTGTTGATCAAAATTATCAAGAAGCCTTGAAGATGTCCCTCAAATTCTCCTTGAACGGCAAATCGTAGCTCTTCAATGCCAGACAAAGGCGAATGAGCCTCTGATGGAGTTCATCCTAAAGATGCTCTATAGGTTCTAAATCATTGTTATTGGAAATTGAAAAATTCCATACTTTTTCAAGACACTTTTGTATCTTCTCTTAAAAATAAGATATTGATGTGTATTAAGAACTGATGTGTTAAGAAGGGATCATAAGGCATCACACTTCCATCCAGAACATGATTAAGCAGAATGTTGGAGAATGGTTCTGAATTATTGCTGATGAAAAATAAAAAGTTCCACACTTCCTTGAAACACTTTTATCTTCTCTTGAGGAGGAGATATTTGCATGAATGATGAACCATTGTGATAAGAATGAATCACACTTCAAACCATATCATGATGATATCAAATAAGCAAAATTTAACCACTTACTTTTGGCACAGAGCGTTAAGAAATTGTAGGTGAGAGAGTTACTTTGGTTTCTCCCTGTGTAATGATCAAGTCATCAGCTTTTTTTAAGAACCGAAATCGGACTAGAATAAGAAAAGTTACAAAGCGATCAATTTGGCAAATTTTTTTTGATCCGGTTTTTTCTCGCCGGTGAGTGTTCAATCTTCAAAAGTTCAAAATAATCCGATACCTGCCTCTTCTCCCTATCTTCCTTAGGTACGCACGATGTTCTCCGGACATTATAGTGATCACTCTTCGTGTGCCCCAAGTGGTGAAAAAACATAGAATTCCACCAAAAGTATCTTTTTGGTGTATTATTAGTCATTCATTCCCCACGGTAGTAAAGAATATCATTATACCCAGAGAACAAGATTATATCCCGGGGCTTCAGCCGAGGAGAATAGGGTCACGTGGTAATAATATTCTTTTTTACCAAAGTTTATATCAGATGTTTTTCACCACAAGCAATATAATTAAATCACCTCAGTTCTGTGAAACCGAAATATGGACTAATTGTCACTAAATACCATCTAGATTCGAGTGCCATTCCTGCAAATATCTGATCAGAACAGTGCATTCGGGTTCATCAATTCAGAGGTGGCTATATCCTTATTGACTAGTGGTTTATAAAATAACGAGAACTACCTTGGTAGCATAGTGGAAGAAGAAGATGGTGTGCTCAACAGAAAGCTCAAACTCGTCTTGTTCTGCGCATGACGTCAGTTGGGATATAACTGTCATTGATATTATTTGTTTTCGTGATTGGTGTCTCAAACTTCAGATATTATATATGAGTACTAAAATTGAATGAAATAATTTCGAAATGCCTACTTGTTTCGTTTCTGGTTATGAAAATTCCAACTAACATACAAACATATTGCATTTTTGTGCTTTTCCAAGAATGGAGACCTAATGAAACGATGGGAGCTTGCTGCCGACAGAATATAAACTCAAATAATGGTACCTACCTTATATTCCTTATATTCTCATTCCAAAGTATTCACCTATCATATTATCATCAAATTCATATTACAACACGTATTTCTTCAAAACATTCCAAAAAATCACAAATTTTTGAAACAAGATACCATTCCTACAGAACATCTTCCGAAAATCTAGTCAGAAATAATTGAAAATAAATTCACTGAACTCTTAATTTCTCACAAAATATAAATTGCAGCGAAGATTTGAATAACAAAACGGCAAAAATTGATACTCATGTTGTCGATGTCGGAGCAGAAGCAACGTTAACGTCGTTAACTGCTGAATTTTAATCTGTCACAATATTGGATCATTCAGATGGGATTGGCAATGCATGATAATTCGTATGTATTTTTTTTTTTATTTCAGTTATTGCATTACATTCTCTTCTTCATTGATACATTTCATACAAATTTGCTATTTGCGATTGCGAATTACCTCAAGATCACAATTTCCAGAATCAATGAAATAGTAAAATCGAAGGAATAGAGGAACCTGTTTATATAAATTGAATTTTCTGAACAGATCGAGAAACTTATAGAAATTTCAATTAACATGATTGAATTCATTGCGCACGCCCATGGCAACGGTATCTGTCTGTGACTAGCAGGTGATATTGGTATCCCAGATGACGTCACATAATATGCGCGTAGGCACACCATCTTCTTCTTCTTCCACTATGGCTATATCCTTATTGACTAGTGGTTTATAAAATAACGAGAACTACCTTGGTAGTCATAAAATGACGAAAACAAGCTTGGTTAAAAAAACACATTTTACGCCTCGAATAGGAGTAAATAATGATAGGTTTCATAGCTAGTCGTGGAAAAAATGTACTGATTTTCATGATCACAGAATCTAACAAAAAAAGTTATGTTTGAAAGTACTCGGTAAGAACCGTGTAACTAGCGCCCTCTGTAGGAGTCAGATATGAAAACAAACTAATGCGATGTAACAGCTTCCAGAATATATTCAGGCGAAATTTCATTGCGATGTTGCACGTAGTTTCGACCTAATCGAAGAAATTGTGTATCAATTTTTTTTCATGAATTTGTGTCTGGAATTCGAATTCCGGTACAAAAATGTTGTACTGAGTCAACTCAATTCATGTGGTAGTGTTCTACTTATCCTCGCAATAGATTCATTTTCTTTAAACACCCTGTATGTATTGATATATTTCAATAATGATTTCATGATGATAGTTCACCATGAGCCATCTTGGCATATTGATTGGATGTGTGTATTTGAACTATTAAATATCTTACCGTTCTATCCTACAGGCAGCAACACAATGAAAAGAAGTTTCAGTTATCGATATCGTATGTTTGCCTAGATTTAATTTGGATTCATGCAAATGGAGACCGATTAAAATTTTCGTCAAAAAGAAATCAAGCTAATTGTCACTTGAATCAACCAAATATTTACCTGAGTGAGTAAAGTGCTGGTGAACAACAATCCAGTTTCTTGCTGGTCCTTCATGATGTCGGCATTCTCATGCATCCCGAACACTTCCGGATGGGTGATCAAAGGAAGAGACTTAGTATAATTGATGAAGTCCTCGTATTCTGTTTTGTCTGGGCAATAGTAAGTGTCTGAAAAAATATATATTTCTTTCATCATATAATCATTATCATTTGAACAGTCATGGCGGTCCTAACCTATAAGCACCTTAGGCACAATATAAGGGCACAAGCTAGAGAAGGCGCCAAAAGTATGATCAGAAATGAATAGTAGTTTGAAAAACTAAAGAAACACGTTCTTATACAGTGTGACCCATTTAAGATGGAAGCACCCTTATAAAACTTACATTTTTCAACCGATTGGAATGATTTTTTTTATGTTAGGTAGATATTCAAAAAGTCTATTAGGACACGAAATATCATGAATAAATCTCCATTTCCAGGGCCAACTAATCTGATTTTTCAAGGTCAAAAATCTAAAAAAATTACTAGCGATTTTTTTAGAAAAAATCTGACTACACCACTGGATTCGTGACATTTTCAAATGGGTAACATGTAAATAACGTTGAAATGCGTCAATCAATAAAAAAGTTATAAAGGAATGAAATTTGAAAAATATGCCGTTTAATCAACCCACCAATTCATGTTCAGGAATTTTATGAAAATTCTGTATACTCCACTGGATTCAGGATGTCTTGAAATATTACTGATCACAGTTTCATCAAAATCTGTTCAGTAATAAAAATTGATGGGTTGATTAAACGGCATATTTTTCAAATTTCATTCCTTTATAACTTTTTTATTGATTGACGCATTCCGACGTAATTTACATGTTACCCATTTGAAAATGTCACAAATCCAGTGGTGTAGTCAGTTTTTTTCTAAAAAAATCGCTAGTAATTTTTTTAGATTTTTGACCTTGAAAAATCAGATTAGTTGGCCCTGGAAATGGAGATTTATTCATGATATTTGGTGTCCTAATAGACTTTTTGAATATCTACCTAACAAAAAAAAATCATTCCAATCGGTTGAAAAATGTAAGTTTTATAAGGGTGCTTCCATCTTAAATGGGCCACTCTGTATATAGCCAACTCAAAAAGAGTAGGAAGTAATATAAAAAATAGTGTAGATAAATACACAACATGGAAAATACTGCAACGGAGGGGCTAATATTTATGATGAATGCTCGTAAATCGTAACTTCATAATATTCATCAAAGACTGCACAAGCGTTGTTAGATATACAATGTGATGGGTGTTGAGTAGGAGTACTACACGAAAAGAAAAAGAATTTTTGAATCAGGCAAAATTTAATTGGATGAAGCAAATAAAAGTGTTTATATGCACGACAAAATATAATCTTGAAATAATTGAATCTATATCTTGTTTCAGAGTGAATTTGGAGTTTCATTCAAGTTAATATGTCTCGTATGAACTCTGGATCTTATTCAATCAAGCAAATACATGAATTGTTCATGAAGAGAAATTGAATTGGCTCAATCATTGTGTTCGATTCAAAATAGCAAGATATCGACTCAATAAAATATTTAGTTGATTCAATGAAATATTTGGTTGATTCAAAGAAATATTTGGTTGATTCAATTAATTATTTGGTTGATTCAATGGAATATTTTGTTGTATCAATGAAATATTTCGTTGTTTCAAGAGAAACTGTATTTCCATTCGACAAATTGTTTTGTTGAATCAAATTCAGTATTAATTCAAGAATTTTCTGAAATTTCACATCAACAGAATAAACCAAACTAGGAAACTAGTCGACGTCTAGCATAGATCTGCAGTCTTTATTTCTCTTTAGCTGATGCGAAACTATTTCGGATTGCTAATCATCATAAATTTGAAATATCGAGGCAGGCATAGACGAGGCGAAATTATCGCCATCTAGAGGCGAAAATTCAACTTGATGTAAAATGAACAAGATATTTAATTGATATCACATATTTCGTTGTTCTATTCAGGCAAATGATCCGTTCGAAACGAGTTCATTGCTACATCGGAATAAGAAAACTTGTATGCTGTTTCAGAGATATATTCTCTTCAAAATGATCATTATTTTATCAAATCAACAAAATGTTCATAGTTGAATCAACATCGAAATTATTTTGAAGCGACTTAATTCTTGCTCAGGACAATTTGAATGAAAAATATGTGGCATGATTTGATTACTTAGGAATGAAATATAACTTTAATCTTATAAGACACAATATTAATTCGTTTCCACTGAGTGGAATTCATTATAGTTAACCCTTTATTATTATTTTTTTATATGTATTTATGTATCCCTATCATAAACAGAAATGTTTCTTGGAGTAATAAAGACAATCAATCAAAAAAAAAATCGTTTTTGAGAAAACCATATATTTTGGTGATGGAATTGATGTTATACTGTTGATTCAATCAGACTACATTCTTGATTTGAACAAGCTGCCTCCATGAAATAATCATGTATCTGGTTGATCAAAGAGAAAATTGCTCAGTCCAACAAAAATAATTCAAGCATGAATAATATTTTGTTGATGCAACGAATGCTTTTTTTCCGTGTAGATCATCAATACTACTGAATTTTGAAAAAATCGCGTTTTGCCTTATGCCTGAATAGATAGGGCATTCAAACAAAATATGTTGCACGGATCCAGTTACTTGTAGATTGCAAATTGAGCAAACTTCTATAGTGCCAATAATGTAAATGATACCATGAAGTGAGATCATCAAAGACTTTTTGCTACAAGTCCTGTCTTGGACGATATTACGCATTATGTAAATGAGCGAGGGAACACTTAGGTCTAGGATTCTGATATATGTATATGAGCGAAAAGGAAGTATTCACAAGTCTTTCTGAGTCGAGAGATAATAACTTCCGCTTGAATTTAGTCAAAATATCATCCATTAGTTTTTCGGATTGATAATTCAGAAAGTTTTGCCATAGGTTTCCACAATCTGCAAATGGAAAGTATTCTATCACCTGTAAAAGCCAATTGAATTTATCATCATTTTGGTCTAAAACAAGTTAACGTTCATATCAAATTTTGGATCGTCTCGTGTTGTTCATTGTTTTCAATATAGTGAGCAAAGTTGAAAACGATTTGAGTATTATGTATTATGTATATGATGATTCGATTGAGTTAGTTTCGATGCGCACAATATAGTCAGGAGTATTTTTTGGTAAACAGAGTAAACGATTGATGAAGCGGACTTGAATACGTTCTATATCGTCTGAGTAACGAAGACCCCATATAGCAATACCAAATGATAATGAAGAAAATATTGATTGAGAATAGAATTGATTTCAATAGTTTTATCCTTGAAGACCATCAATAGCTCTTTGGACGGTACATCAAATTCATTATAGATCCAATAGTCTGGTTAGCTATAATGACCGTTTTCTTGGCCATTTCAAGTGACAAGGATGATGAAGAAAATTGTACCCCTGAGCGAATGATATTTTCTACAACTTCCACTATAAACTAAAATTATTTGTGTTCAGATAGTTTTTCTGAACAGTACGTAATCTATCAACCAACCTGTGGGATCAAAGGCGTGGCATGGTTCTTCTACAAGTTCTCTGCAATAAAACTTCTTGAGTATAGTACTAAGACACCTTCGGTCCCAGTCATCCGTTACTCGACCACCGTAATTACATTCTCCAGTCAAGTAAAGAAGAGCCTCGTATTGTATATCCTAGAAAATATGTATGCTTGAATTTTGAATATAGTCAGAGTGACATCTAAACGGTATTTCAACATCAGAGGTATTGGAAACAATCTCTTGGAAATATATCAAGAAAAAAAGGCTATCAGTGCTAAAATTCATAATTGTGAATCTGAAATACTATATATAAACAGAGGAGTTCCCCATTCCTGAAGGAATTGAATCTCGAGGGGCTGCTATAAACAAGAAATCCTTGATATAGTAGAAGCAGATGGGGCACAATAGATCTAATTAGGTCGCAGCGCATCTGTCACCATCTGACCTACCAATACCAATACCTAGGAGTTCCCCAAGGATCAGTGTTGGGCCCAATTCTGTATCTTCTCTACATTCAAAACATTTCAAAAATAAATTGATTATGAAAATATGCCATATATGCAGATGACACATCAGTACTTTCATTTGAAAACAAAAACCGTAATTTCAGGAAACAACATATATGAGGATTTGAAGAAAATTTCAAAATATTAATTTGTATATCAGAATAAAAAATAAAAGATTGAAACAAACTGCCTATACCAAATACCTTGTTATTTGGATTGATCAAAAGTCAACATGGGACAAGAATATTGGCCTGCTCACAGAAAAAAATGCTCTCATAGTTGGTGCCCCAAGAGGATGTCCAAAACTTATCCCGAATATGGCAAATACCTTCTATACTCTCACATCCTTAGTAAAATGAACTATCTCATACATATTTGGGGTTCATGTTCCAAGAATGAGTTTAACAAAATATCTGTACTATATGTGAAAAAGCATCAAAAGTACTGTATCGTCTTCCAAATGACACCCCATCAAATCAACTTTATGAAGTTTGAACCCCTGATTGGGTGATATATTTATATGAACACAAAAAATATTCAACTGCTAGATCTCATAACTGAGAGACTCAGGATAAACAGAGTTGCCCCAATTGTCAGCAGGAGCGAGACAGTACTGTTTAGACCCACCAGGTCTCATCAGCCGCTCTCGGTCTGCTGACAACTGGGACAACTCTACGCTTCGGGTATATCACCCATTTCGAAGACGCAGGGTATAACATGAAGTTATAGTGATGTTGGGGCAACTCTGTTCATCCTGGATCTCTTAGTTATAAGATCTAGCAGTTGAATGAGTGGTGGAAGAATTCCAATCAAGTATGTCAGGTAGTGCCATCTGTCAGCAGAGTGGTTTACTTGTAGTACCACTCTGTAGCGTATAGACGTAGGGGCCTGTACGTGTGACTATAGATGGCAGCGCCATACAGTGTGTGTCGCGATTTCTGTATCCTTCCTCAGAGCTTGGCCACTAGATGGCTACAACATGACTATAACTTCATCAGCGTACATACATTATGTTATACCCTGCGTCTACAGAAAATATTGATTCTTTCTCGGTTTATTCAACAGAAAACAACTACTATAGCCAGGAAAGCGTATCCATATGACTGTGACATACCAAACATAAGTTTTTTCAAAAGAAATACCCCAAATTTTATTCCGTCTTCGGAAAGAGCTCAATAAGACGAGTTCAATGATACATGATAACATTGGTCTGAGATCACCCGCTTCGGATTTATCCGTCGAATTTCAAAGTCCTATAGAAATGTTGACAATCACGTCTTTTTATACGCGATTGCCGTCATAAATTATCAGATTATATATTTCATCTTGATATTCCGTCAATATTGAGAGAGTTTTGATTTGTCAAAAGTGATGACATGTATTTGACTAACGGATAATTTTCTCGAAATTTCCAAATAGACCACCCTGTATTTCATTTCATTCTTGGATAGTGCTCAGAAAGACGAGTAGGTAGTCAGATTTCAAAACCCTCTGAGATGAACGTGATGGATTGATTTTTAATAAACTATTTTCAATATTCAAGTATACTGATAGAGCCATAAGTCGGGACATTGTCGATCTAAATGAAAACCTAGTAGGCGACCTAGTACGCGAGGAGGTACAATATTGTCTGTTCTTTGAATCAAAATCTGTCTGCCTGTCAAGTGGCGCTGGCATCCTGAAAATGGAAAAAGCTCATTTGTTTCTGTCAAAATAGACCATATTAGGTTGATATTCTCTTCTTCTATTTTTCTCCAATATGTACTCAACCACAGACGTGCTTTCCAATTTCCATCATTGACGTGATATTTGATAGGAAGACGATGGAGAAGATTCATGTAATCATAAAATTATTTTCTGACAGTTGTCATTAACTTATAACTTCGTCTTTGTGGATGTGTTGAACTTTGATTTCCTTTCTTGGAAATTACAATTATACCTATACCTAATCATTTCTTCTAGTATTGGTTTTCTATCAGAGTTTGTTGATTGGTTTGTGAGTGCGATTGTGTTATTTTGCGATGTCATCTGAAAACTGCGCACTCCAGGAGGTGAAGGTGTAATTGAATTATCAAGACATGGTTTCCCCAATCCCCACTGTTGTGAATTTGAGCCTCAAATCCTGAGGCGTCAATGGGTTCACGCCATATTCATTGGATATCAAGGTGAACTCTTTTTCTTGAATCACATAATATTTGGAACTTATTGATATTTATATTTCAGGAATGTGAGTTTTTGAAGTAAGCGAACATGATACTATATGTTTCCAACATTTTAAGGGAACTGTTTCTTGCCAATGAAGAATAGGAAACGGTTTTGGAAAGAGAGTACGGTCCCAAGTTTGTTCAAGGTAGAAATATATAAATAAAATGGTATTTAACAAATTTGTACCTATACTAACTAACTAATTATTAGTTTCGGTATGAAATTCACCAAGAACTTGACTTTGGTTCCTCTAAAAGTTGTTCCATAGTCAAAAGTCATTAAATTCATTTCAGAATGGTACAGGACATTGAAACTAGGGACAATATTTTTATATTTTCAGACTCGGCAATGTTGTTTGGAATATGATGCTGAAGAGGAATTCCTGCCTTAAGGAACAGGACCTGACGATGAACGGCCATTTGAACAGATATTATAGAATGATAATAAATAATAATAAAGTTCATTCAAAATGTTGACTTAAATATAAATTAAAAAGATACGTATTGGTATTGAATATTCCTGTGGTTTAATTTGTGCCAATAATAGACACATCTTCTCATATTTAGTGAAGTTCGTAGCTTCAATGAGATGATTTAATAAAAAATAATCATTGTTTTACTTCAAAAATACTTCACCTATATACAATATTTGTACAATATATATAGTGTTTTCAAACTTATCTGCCAATACATCTGTACAACAATAAACAGGGTTATCAGAAGAGAACAAACTATATAGTAGAATAAAAATTGAAATAATTCTTCATAATTATGTACAATTTATTAAAAAAATTGAATTGTATTGCCATTCATACAATACATACAAGTTATATTCCAATAAAAAATTCTAAATATCCCAGCATCTTGACAAAGAACCCTGAACAATAGAATACCATATATCTGAGGATGATTCCTATACAATCTTGAAATCACTTTACTCTAGTGAAATTCTGAGTGGCTCACTACGAAAATGGTCCTGAGTGTGCTGGAGTGGAATATCACATGTTCCTCATCATCTAATTGATTGCTTGAAAAATGGATAAATTGAAAATACATTGGGGTGTGTATAATTTGTAGCCTACACTGAGAAAAACTGGTTAATTAAAACGTCTAGTTGGTATTTTTTAGCACCGATTATTAAAAATATTTGGAATTTTATTAACAATGACAACGTATCCTTATTTCCTACAAATGACTTTTCTATTTTTCGCCAATTATTTGTCATCAATAAATATACTATTTGTGACAGAATTATCGCAGTGTTGTCGATTCAGTCAATTAAAATTTCATATTGGGGTTAAAAAACCTCATTCTGGGGTTACTAACAACAGCTGACTATTTGCCACAACTGATGACACATTTATCGTAAAAGGTTTATTATTATTCATAGCAGAAATTGTTTAGCCATAACTAATAATTTTAGTTGTACTGCGTCGTTCGGGACCGCCTCGCGTCTCTTCGGGACACACTGGCAAAAATTGCATCTTGCATCTGTTTGTATTTCTGTTTCATCATTTGAACTTGTATCTCAATAGTGGATAGATCGCACGGTCGTCGAGCTTAGACAAAATAAATAAAAAACTTGTCTAGTGTAGCCGGGAGCGTCGTGTTCTTGCTGGTTCACTGCTCTGTGTGTTTTCAAATCACAGTTTTGTGTTTTTTTGCAATTCGCGCTGAGCCATTTGGCATTTGGTTGGCAAAAGAATAATTCGCAGCGCAGTTTACCATCGTTATCCGTGCGTCACTAGTTATCAGGTTTAGGTACCTATTCACAATTCAGTTCAGTTTACGACGGGCGACGTTGAGAAACGTCCAACCGACGTCACGTGTACACGGTGTATATTTATAATTCCCTCTCTTTTTGCTGAGCTGTGGCCTGTGGCAATTACGGTGTGTGGTGTATTCCTGTTCACGATTCCATTGAAAATTGGAAGAAAAATGGCATACAAACTGTTATTATTAGAATGGGGCCTTGATTTTAATTGATATAAAACTATTAAGTTGCCAGAATAACTAAATTATATTTCAAACGTTACTAAATCACTTTTGATAGTAACTAGATTCCATTTCAGTCACAATTGAATATTTAATTTGCAACAACACACTCACTATTAACGTCAGAAGAAATGAGTAATTGCCCCAACTGGGATAATTTGTTGTGATAACAAACATATATTGAAACAGTACTAACAATCTAATTGTCATAACTATGTATCTTGATTGTGGCAAATAAAACTTGGTATTATTCCTTAAAAAGGCTTATTAGTTACCACAACAACGTCGTAGATGACTCAACTAAACTTTTCATTAGAGGCAAATAGGCGTTTCCAGAAAAACAGAATTAGTTATGGCAACAACTAATGCTTGCTGTCCCCTATCGTACTAAAAAATTTTTCTGTAGTTACTAATTTTTTAGTAACGGCTACAATTTTTTTCCCTCAGTGTAGAATGAAATGCCTGGCTATTTCCAGCAAACAAATCGTTGTTCTTACTGCTTATCTGGATTCAGCTCATCGAACTACAGGATGAAAAGTTTCTGATTTTATTCACTGCCCCATTTTCTTGTGTGTTTTTTCATAAAATCTTGTGAACTGGATATTTTTGCAGCTCGACTTTCAAGGAGGTACCTATCTATAAAAAATATAATGATATTTTGTGTTTGGAGCAGAATATCCATGAGACATTGATGAAATAACCAGATTGAGTCTAACCTTGGTGCTTCTATATATTTATTTCAGATGGTAAATTTTCCATTCTGTTCTGGAACATCATCATCCTTCTGGTACATTCCTTCTGAACATTACTCACATAATGATTTCTAATGTGATACTTCCACATCACTCATAGTTTTCCGTTTTTCAACTGAAAAGCTATTAATGTAAGTACTCTTCGCTGTAGGTAGGTACCTGAAATTTTCAAGTATATAGTGATTCCGATGTGTACATGGTTTACATCACTAAAGACATGTTTTCACTGCAAATAATGGAATTTCACGAATTAAAGAGTAACTTATCAAAAATATAGAAGTAAAAAAGCAGCCCCTACCTTTCTGCTTGGCTTGCATGTCGAAAAAGTGTAATAGCACTATTGAGTTTCCGAAGTTTCCACAGTTCCAACTTGAATTCAAGTTGCATCATGAATCATACTAATACAGCATTGCCTAAACATCTTCCTGCTTCCATTCAAGTATAGGTAGATGGTTTTCATACTTGATAATATCCTTCGTGATAATGTTTCATTTTCGGGATTCCACATGACAGATTTTTATTTACAAACTTGACAGGACCATGAAAAATGTTACGGTTAGGTCTGACAAATGAATAACTTAGTTTACTTGGTTCACATTGATGTCTCTGTACTACCTAACTAGGTTTCCATTTAGATCGACAATGGTCGGGATAATGAACCTATTCCATTGATATCTGAATAGTTGAATGGGTTGGAATTAGGAAACTTGTGAACCATGACAGACGTTGACTGCTTGGTAAGTGTCTTACAGGGATAGGTGAACATTCCTCAAATGATACCTAGTATATTAGCAGAATTCTAGAATTGCATATATTTCATGTTTCAATAATCTCCTGAAGATGTTAATAATATAGTTCGCGAAATACGTGTCCAGGCGTTGAATAATCGGTTCGGTTATTGGTGAAACAGTGTGTGTAGTGTGATGAAGATAACAGACAGAATTTTGATTTTTTGAAATGAAAACTTCAAATTGCAATCGACTATTTTGCCGAAGAGAGAACAGGATGTCACAGACACATGCAATCGACCATCGTTGAACTTATCTCGGCAATCTTTATCAAAACTGAAATAAAATTGATTGTGCCTCTCTGAAATTTCAAGAAAATGATCATTTCTCGGAATACAGCATTTGGCGAATTCAAGAGATATTTATCTCGATCTACGATGAAGAAATTATACAGAATCTGTTGAATTTATAACAAGAAATGCGCATGGAGAACTCATTCCACCAAGACTTCAGGGGGTTCTAAGATAATTCGACTACTCATTGAAGATCATAGGTACATGAGTCCGAAACGGTTGATCTCAGACCCATGTCATCATACATTATCGAACTCGTCTTTCTGAGTTCTATGCAGAAATGGAATGAAATGAAGCGTGTTTAATTTGGATATTTCGAGAAACTCATGGGTTTGCAAAATACGTCATCACTTTCATCAAATTCAAAATTACTGAAATTATCTCATCAATTTCGAGATTATATATGATATTCGTAAATTAATGACAAAGAATGAATACCAAAAACTTGATTTTCAACGTTTCTATAAAGCTTTGGCTATTCATGGAAGAAGCTGATCATGGATAAGTCCGAAACGAGTGATCTCAGACTCAAATTCCATGAATCTTCTTTTATGTTCATTTCGAAAAGAGTTATCCTGATAACCAAATAGATACTTTAAAATTCGGGAATTTTTGTATAAATCCTACAAAATACTCCAAACTCTTAGGTTTAACTATAGACCAGGCTATATCTTGGTCATCGCATATTCAATTGTTCAGAAAAAAAATATTTTCCATTGTTGGTATATTATACAAATTGAGGTCTTTTATATCTCTTAAATACTTGAAATTAATTTATTTCAGTTCGATTCACTCTGAATTGCAGTATCTGATATCGATCTGGGGTACTGCAGCAAAATCTGTTTTGAAACCTCTCACATCTCTTCAGAATAAAGCCATAAAATGTTTTTATAAACTACCATTTCTGGAATCAACATCTAGACTATTCAAACCAAGGGATCTGCTAGATATTGACTTTCTCTTCAAAATGAAAGTATGCATTTTCAGTCATTTCACTAAAAATAAGAAAAAGCACTCGAATCTTACTTTCAATATCAATTCTGACAGACAAAGTGAACATTTGAAAACTGTCAAAATAAAAACTCAATTTGGGTAAAATCAGTGTATTTTTGTGGAATAAATATCCATAATAGTCTACCCAACAGAATAAAATCTATTAGGTTCGTCACAAAGTTTAAGTGTGAACTGAAGAAATATATTTTATCAATTTAACTCTCTCCTTGTATCAATTGATTCTGATTGAACTGTTCATCTTTCATTGTATTGCATATTTGGTTTATCTATTATATATTTGTTTGTGTCCCTCTATAAATATTGTATGTTTCTTAAGATCAATAAATGTTATCATTATTATTATTATGTTATCATACATCATTGAGCTCGTCTTTTTGAGCTGTATCGAATAATGGAATGGAATTCAGGATATTGCATTTGAAAAAACGTATGTTTGGTATGTTACAGGCATATGGATCATCCTGTATAGTTGACATTATCTAAAAGTTCATATGTATATAAACAACTTTGATTCTCAACTTTCTCTGTATCTATTCTAGTTCACCAGATAAGGTCGCTTATGTAATGTGGAATTTCCTGTACCTATAATGTTTTTGATGATTTTAAACAATGTCTAGTGACTCGTGGTATTGAGACTAGTGAGGGGCATGTTGGGGCCCAGCTGTTTATTGTTAGAAACAGAGTTCAGTTTAGTGGGGTTCAAGCAAAATATCTTGAATCTGGATCAGTATTGGGGATACAGATAGTAAAAAGTCAAGGTTTTTGTTTTCAGTTGAATAAAATTCAAGCGAAACAGGCAAAATTAACATGTTTTAGAACGTGTATGCTTATTTATCTCAAAAACGGTTCGTTCTTCGAAAAAACTTGTAGAGCAAAAAGAGTCTCTAAATTGAACGAGCCACATAATTTGATCACTGAAAGATGCCAGAGGCGTATTACGGAAAAGTTTGGGACGAATAAGGAATCGTCTACCCCCATAAACGTATCACCCTGTAGATTTTGAAAATCTTTAGATGACTTGAAATGATCATCCTCTAGGGAGTATCGACCACACCAAATTTTGAAATAATATCTTGTCAAGTAAGCGAGATATTTCAATTAATAGAAGAAAATAATTCAGCTTTGACACCCTGTGGCTCCGCTATTGAACGAGATCGGACTAATGTTTACTTAAACTTTTTTGATTAAAATGATGAGATCTATCTTCCATTTCAGTTTGTGCCTTGAAACCTGAATCACCCTGTATAATTGGAAAACTGAACTTAAATTAATGCTAGGTATCCTTACATCATATTCATTCAAAAACATCTGCAACTGCATCACACTAATCCTCAGATCCGTTTCATTGAACTCATAGGAAATGTTCCAGCCTAGTGGTCCAAACTTTCTTCTTTCTTGTATAGACGCGTGGAAAAAGCACAAACCATAAAGGAGCCTTTTGAACGCTATTGGCTGCTTACAGTTTTCGAACCACTCTAGGTCGCAAATGGGGTCACTCAAGTAAGACCTGAAATGATTGCAGGAATAGTGATTCAGAACTAGATAGATAATGTATATTATGAATAAGAGACATCGTCTCTTTATATTCTCGTCACCTCCAAATGTTTGGAAAGTCTGTTATTTTGTGTCCAAGATGATCTAATTCAGAAGAGCCAAACACACATTTTTTGGAAGAACATCGCAAATTATGTATACGTTATTGTTCGATATTCTCTTCCTTAGCGGAAATTGTATGTATGTATATGTATATAGATATATAAGTTTACTATAGGTACTCTTTCATTTATATAACAATTATTCGAGGGATGTTTGAAACATTATTTTCTTTTCTTTATTTTCTTTATTACACATTTTCAAATGGTGATATGTAAAGAAAACTTTGCGCGCTTATTGTGTTCGATTTCAAACTCGCGAAACAGTTGATTTGCACAATACGCCTGCGCGGAGTTTTCCCATCCGGCTGGATGGAGAGCAAGTGGGGACACACAGACGAAAAAGACACGTGGGCCCTGCGGTGCTACCTGTGGTACCTGTGTACAAATTGCTAAAGGCATCTCGCAGAAATTTGGGTAAGTGCTTATCAACTGCCGAATTTTTCCATATTTATTCTCGCTCACTCGCTCATGCTATATACCTTGACAGTTATTTTTCTAATACCAAGCCCAGATGCAAAATGTGTTCATTATGATACATAGTTTGAAAAGGAATGACTTGCCCTGGTGTCCAAAAGAGCATCTATCAGTTGGCCTTCAACAGAAATTTGGATACGAGTTGAATTCTGGTCATATTCTATCTGATGTATTGTGGTTAGGGTCGGGCGAGGAATAGGGTGTCTTGGCTCACACCGACCCTGTCCTAGTTTTCCTGAGATTTTGTTTTTCTATTATCCCCAGCAGAAAGATAGATTGCGGTTTCTTCTAGGACAATCACTATTGTAATGCCAACCTTCACAATAATGACATGGTGATCTGGGACCATTATATCTGTTGGTTTTTTGATTTCTTGCAAATCAGTTTCTATCTCAGTAGCAGCTTGTATAAGTTCCTCTACACTGGGAAATCTTCTACCTCTCAAATTGATTGGCGAATTTGGTAACATCAATTCCATTACTCTCGATATTATGAGATCCTCAGAAAGTTTGGGTTCGAGTCGATGGAATAAACGAAGTTTTTCAGTCAAAAAAACTGCGGCAGTTTCGTTGATTTGTCTTTAACCATAAATTTTAGCATATAACATTCCATGAAGTGATACGTTGTCAAAACGTTCTAATAAACGATTACAGAATGAATAAAAATTGATTTGCTCTCCATGGAAAGCAGTAAACCATGTCTTTCCCAGATAACACACATACATCCATTGGATGTCCATTTTGAATCCATTAGGTAGCCGGATGTCCATGGATGTCCAATGGACATCCATTGTGTATATGTACAATGGACATAGAGATTTGTACATACAATGGACATCCATTTTGTAGTTGTACAATGGACAACGAAATTTTTACAGCCAATGGATATCCATCATACGTATGCAATGGAAATCGTTTCGCAAAGTATATATGTGTCATTTATGACTCTTCTATTTCAATTGAAATATTTTTACCAATAATATATAATATATATATATGAACATTAATCACGGACAACTTCGCACTCGGTACTATTTTTCAAGATTTTATATGTCTCATCATTTTTGTAGGTTAAGTACCTATATAGAGGTAGGTACTTATTTTGAAGTTGGTTTTCATCCAATTTCAATTTTAAACCATTTAGGCCGTGCAAATAAGATCGATATGGGCAAATATTATACGGCGGGTTTCTTTCGAAAAAGATGAATCACCCTGTAACACTTTTGATAAGGGCCGTGTAAAAGCTTTATTGCGGCACTAAACTTCAGCAAATTGCATTTTCTCTCGATGTGAAATACCGTGAATACGAAATACTTGCTATAATATTTATAACAGCTCAGTGGTCCAGAGGTTAGCGTTGTGATCCACGAGAGCGGGGTCGGGAGTTCAATCCCCTCAAAGGACAACTTTTTTTTAATTTCTACGTTCTGGCTGGACAAAATTTGGATATCCAATGGAAATCCAATGTATTCCTGATGAGTATCCAATAGACTTATCATTGGAATGGACATAAGTTGGATTTTTGGTAGACATCCATTAGAGTTCTGATGTGTATACAATGGTATTTCAAATGTAATGGACATACAATGGATCTTCATTGGGAATCCATTGGATGTCTGATGAGTATCCAATAGACTTCCAATGGAAAGGACAAATATTGGATGTCCAATGGAAATCCATCAGATGTCTAATGGAAAGCCAATGGACTTCCAATGTATGTCCAAACTGTTGGACATGTATTATCCAATGGATGTCCATTGGACAAATACTGGACAATGCCGTCCATCCAATGGATGTCCAGGGTATCCATAGCTGGACATCCATTGGTTGTCCAATGGATTCACTTGTGTTGTCTGGGTTGCTTCCCCGTCTAGCACCTGATGTACTCTTATCATCTGATTTCTGAAAGGTATATTGTTCTGATCGTAGTCCTTTCAGAACTACGAAACTGTGACTCATATCCTTCTCAGGGTATTCGATTTGTGGGACATTACCATAAAGTTGGGTGCCATATCGTCGTGAGACGATGAGAGTATGATAGTATGATAGTAAGCAGTTCCTCCAGGCGTGAAACCTTTCAGACCTGTTGGCAAACGGGACACTCTCTTTGGAAAAAAGGTTGCTGGAGGTGTCTTTTCTGGCACATCCATGCCGAGTAATTACGAAGAAATAGGAGATTGTATGAATACCACTGATTGAAGTGTAACTTATTCATCCACTGTCAAGTGACAGGGATATCAGAACCTACCCACTACTGTTTTTTATTCGCAGAAAAGAATGACTCTGCGACGATAATTATGTAAAAAAGAAGAAAACTCTGTGGTGTCCATAATAAAAATATGATGAATTATCATGCCATGCCGAGGAACTGGATTTCTTTAGTGAATAAATATAGCAAACTTTCACGTCAATGGAAAAAAGGGTTTGAGTGGAAAATTTGGTATGCACAACTCATTCACTACGAAAAAGGGGTCTCTTCCTAAACTCCAATTACTCTCATGGTTCAAGATGATGAATGAGAAAGAATAACATACCTGCCAATATTGTTCTTCAATCCTTTTGGTGGTTCATTGGTCATTTTGACTCCATTTTGCAATACCAGAACAGGAAAATGATCAGCAGGATATGAAGTGAGCCATAATCGGAAATCGGGATGTGTGGAGTCTGGTGTTAAGTTCTCACATATCTACAATGAGATTAGTGTTACAATTTTGTATGTTTTCACGAAAGTATACTGACGATTTTGGAAAATATACGAAATAAATTGCGCTATTTATATCTTAGTACATATTATCCAGTGTCTCGAATAACTATTCAATACTTAAGAGACCTGATGACATTTTCACGATTATCAATTAGCCTCATTAGAGCGCAAAAACTTCACATTTTCCGCATAGGGCTCAAGTTTCGTTTAGCTGAAATCAGTTATGAAAAAACTGTTGCTATGGCAACAATCGTCATAGTAACGAGTAAACAAAAACCCAAATCCCGTGGTGAGGAAATGCGTGGTTGCCAATAGTCGTATCGGGTTTAGTATAGCTGGAATCAGTTGTGGAAAAACTGTTGCCATGGCAACGAGCGTCATGATAACAAGTACACAAAAACCCGATTCCCGTGGTGAGGAAATGCGTGGTTGCCAAATTGTATCGGGTTTAGTATAGCTGAAATCGGTTATGGAAAAACTGTTGCCATGGCAACGATCGTCATGGTAAGGAGTAAACAAAAACTCGATTCCCGTGGTGAGGAAATGCGTGGTTGCCAAGTTGTATAGGGTTCAGTTTGGCTGAAATCAGTCATGGAAAAACTATTGCCATGGCAACGATCGTCATGGTAACGAGTAAAAAAAAATCCGATTTCCGTGGTGAGGAAATGCGTAGTTGCCAAGTTGTATCGGAGAATTATTGCTTCATTCATTGATTCCAAAAACACTCTTCAATGTAACCATTCTTCGCGTGCCGAACTATTCGACAAAATCAAAAAGTAACAGAGCCATTTTGGCATATTCATTACGATGTATCGCGCAGGATATAGGAAGAGAGAGTACAGATACTGATTGTCTAATACAGATGGAAACATCTCGTTAGGCCCACCCACATTTCCATTTGCCTTCATTTCGATTCACCCATACACAAACGATGCCTTGCTACCAAATCTGATCGATGTTGAAAAATATATTTTTTTTAAGAAGGTTTATTTGAGCCGAGTTAGGTTATATTGTTTAGAAAAAGTAGTATCCTTCCTTATGCGCTATTTGTTCCGCACTATTTTGTCGCTCGCTATTTTGTCTACCTCTGTTCAATAACAAAGCCTATTTTTTCCTGACATTATTTCCATATACGATCGTCATAGAAGTAGTAATTTGGGAATCAATCAACGAGGAACAGTCTTCAAGAAATTGATAAGAAGGTTATTCATTCGAATCAAGTTATTGTTTGAATACTAGCAAGAACTTTTGTGAAAAAAAATTTGAGGGTCGAAGATTGCGCTGATTTCAGCTATACTAAGCCCGATACAACTAGGCAACCACGCATTTCCTCACCACGGGAATCGGATTTTTGTTTATTCGTTACCATGACGATCGTTGCCATGGCAATAGTTTTTCCATAACTGATTTCAGCCAAACTTAACCCGATACAACTTGGCAACCACGCATTTCCACACCACGGGAATCGGGTTTTTGTTTACTCCTTTCCATGACGATCGTTGCCATGGCAACAATTTTTCCATAACTGATTCCAGCTAAATACTAAACCCGATACAACTTGGAAACCATGCATTTCCTCACCACGGGATTTTGTTTTCTGTTTACCTGTTACCATGACAACGGTTGCCATAGCAACAAATTTTCCATAGCTGATTTCAGCTGAACGAAACTTGAACCCGCATAGCTCAACGCTTCTTCTCGGAACACCCTTCTCTGAAGCGAGTATAAGCTGCATCATACAGATTTCTACATCTCACTGGTAGCAAGTTGAGAATCACTGCAGAAGCAGTATCAATTGTTTCTTGGGGTTTCTCTCGATTTCTTGTTCCATAACCGTTAACATTTTCCAAAGCTATTTTCATAAATTTTAGCTCGATATTTGCTGTCACCATGGGATGTCAACGAAGATGCATGTTGTCAAGATGCGAATTCCACAAACTATACTACTACTAATTATGACCAAACACTTTGACCAAATCTCAATTCTTCTCTAATCCTTGTGTTCTTGGCAACGTAAAGAATAGTATGTACAACTCAGGACAAAATACCATTTTTGCTTAAAATCTTATGGGAACTTGTATTCTAATACTTGTAAAAGTTTTTCTAATTCTTTTTTTCCCTCATATTCATAACGAAAGATCATTGTTCGTTTTGTTGTGTCTTCATAAATTCAAATTGATCATTAAAAGCAAATATAATTAACGAGAAATGTTGTCAAGTCTGTCTTCAACAAGTTCCTATACAATTATTTCATTTGTTTTCGATTCTACGATCAGATTAATGTCAATTGTTATACTAGGTCAGTTATACAGAGGTCTGTACAAAATCCTAGCAAACAGTCCTGAGATCAAAATAAGCTGATTTGATGCAAATTGGTCTTGTTCGAAGAAACATTTCTGTGTATGATAGGGATACATAAATACATATAAAAAAATAATAATAAAGGGTTAACTAATAAATTCCACTCAGTGGAAACGAATTAATATTGTGTCTTAAGATTACAGTTATATTTCATTCCTGAGTAATCAAATCATGCCACATATTTTCCATTCAAATTATCCTGAGCAAGTATTTTTTAAGATTGATTCTTAACCTTCTTGCATCATTTATATTCTCCAACTCATTCGCTAATGAATTGTATAAAATTATTTCATTGTGAAAAACAGATTGTTTGCCAATGTTTGACTTGAATGTATTTGCTATATCAAGTAATTCAATTATCTAGTCCTATAATTATGGACTGTATTGACTTCATTGAAAGCTAAATTTGATATTTGCAATTTATCCTGGCAAAATGAATAAAGCGACATATTTCAAGTTCATATAACGAAATCAGGTTCAGAAAATGTCTTGGTTTGTATAAATTTATCGTCGGTTCTAGAAAATGAAGATGAAAAATGCACTCAATTGATTTGTTTTGTAATTTCATTAGTGGTTTCAGACGTGAAATATTTGAACTCCCCCAAATAGAAATTGAATATTGCAAATTTGAATAAATGTTGCTTAGAAATGTTCAAAATATTATTCCATCAACCAAAGAAGTGAAACTGTACATTGAGCAAAAAGTTATGGCCCTTCTGAGCCATAGGAAGTGCATTGGTGAGCGCTCTCTAATGGCCACAGTGAAGATGTGTCCGTATTCGAGTTCCGCAACCCAAAAATCACCTGGCTACAAATTTTTGGCATGATACGTTCAAAAATGTTTATAAATTTTGAAGAAATTCGATTTTTATTTTTCAAATTCACCACCCTGTATCTCGGAAATGGAGCAATTTCGGACTGAGGTTAGTTGTTTCAAATCTGCTTATTCAGACCGCAGGAATATGTGCTGAGATTTTGTACAGACCGTTCAGTGGCACACTGTACTCACAAGAAAATGGAAAAGTATCATTCCGGTCCTGATACGAATGTATCCTTCGGTCTTTTTTGGTTACAAGAGTAATTCATGGAATATTTTCAAGAAATTATAAAAGGGAATAACATTATAGGGATTCCCTTCCGTGCGCTTCAAGCGATAAAAAAATATTCATCATATTTCCATTTCTGATGATATTTTAGCAGACAATTAATGAAAAAAATTCAAACAATTTATTACGGAATGACTGAAATTGTGCCAGACAGTTCCTATAGTATTTTCCCCGTCGATTCATAATATGACCTCAGTTTCTTGATAATCATTATACAGGGTGAGTTATTCTCAAAATAACTGTGATAATGGATACAAAAATTACATTTCAGTTCTAATATTGATTTCGTTCAGAAGACTTCTTCTAGAAGCCATTGAGTTCAATTCATGTATCAAATTGGAAACCAATCAGGTAATCCCTGTATTTAATATAGCAGATCGAATTTTTATCAAAATCCACAAATTATCAGCCTGAGTTGGATTTCCGGTTATCTGAAGAATGAGTGTAAGATGGATCTCCCGAGCCAAACATATGTTATTCAATAATGCAATAGTGTACCTAAACTTGATGAGGAAATCCTTCACTGGGGAGATGAACTGTCTGCAAAATGATTTTTAATCTACGTGTCATACGGATGTCCCACAGGTTTGATGTTATCAGTGAAGATAATGAATCCCTTCAACCAGCATATTCTGTGTTTTATTTGCTACAATTGTATCGAACCTTGACAAAAACTTGGGTATACCACAAATAGAGTGTCCTAACCATTATTGAATTGATCAATTCTGAATTAATTATTGACGATCACAGTCAAATTAACATAATTAGAACAGCAACTGGTCTCCCAGGTTACACTAGTCTAAAAACATCACAAGAATGACTATTCCCGCTTTCACCCCCTCTAGAAATTCACCTCAAGAATGCTCTTGCCATATCGAGGATTTTGAATTGCTATTGGCTGAGCCCACAATCGGGCAGTAATGAATGTCTGTATGAAGTATACCGTATCTATAGAAAATATTGGGTCAATATAGGGCCAATGCCCAGCTCAAGATTATATATGCTACTGGGGCCATGTTGGGTCCCACGCTTTGATCAATTCGGAAAGTTTCGGAAACAACTGTGGATTTGAAACCTGAATATTGATTGAACCCGTATTGAAGGCTCCTATGAAATGGAATTCTGCATGCAGACTAGATGAAGGGGAAATATTGGTGGGTCTCGTTACCATTTGCCGCTAGAGGTGAAGGCAATATCACATAATCATCAGATCATTAAAAAAACTTCATTGAATTGAAGAGGATATCGTTTGAGAAGTTCATAAGGTGAAGAATAAGGTATACAATCTCGCCGCAGCGCATCAGTCACCACCCTCACCAATGCAATGATGGATTTTCTCAAAATTATTGAAAATTCGATCAACTATTGTTGTGTTATGAATGTGTATATTACCAGCTTCACATTGCCTTACCAATTAGTTTGTCAATTTCATGATGAATCTGAATCTAGTGATTCACACGAAACCAACGAGACGAGACTTTCATAAAGTCTTGTCTCGAGTCTCGTCTCGCAGCTTCGAGTCTCGCCTTGTCTTGCGTCTCGCACGAGAGTCTCACAAAAGTATCGCAATTTCGTCATGCATAATCTTGTTACAGTCTAGTACGGGATATTTACCTTTACCCACTTTTTAGGTATAATGTAGAAGTAGGAAGAGAAAATTACAACAAGAATAACATCATTTATCGAAAGGTGAGTACCTGATAGATACATACCTACATCATTCTAAACAAATAAACAAAACAAAAACTTTAATCCAACATTATTCAGCCGTAAGAGAGAGAATAGTCCGTTTTCGTTTCAAGCATTACGTCGTTCTACAACAATTGTGTTTTTGAAGTATTTATGAATAAAATGTTCTGACTATTTGTGCTGAATAGTCTGAATTCTTTCTGCATATGTTGTATTATGAATGGAATTCTCAAGTCCCCAGTCGGCACTCGCACGAGGCACGAGAAGTCTTGCACGAGACTCGAGACGAGACCAATAAAAGTCTCGTCTCGCCTTGTCCGAGTCTCTGTGAAATTTCTCAGAATGCTTTTTGCGGAATCTGTAGATAAAGGTACACCGATCTAATTTTCATATCATTACCATCAGTTATATCTCTACCTATGAGAAATTTCATTGAGCTGTTATTACAAAATATTTCGTAGCGGTTACAGATGTTATGTTAGCTCAAACCTGGACCTTTGCATTCTGACTGTATAAATCCACTGATTTCGATCGATTAACGAAATGAGGAATCAAACCAGGATATGAGTTTGAACAATCAGCTGAACAACGAAGTTATCCGAAATTGATCTGTGAGAAGTCTATTGCATCTCAAAGTGAAGTGGTTAGTTACCACAAAACAAAACACAACGTCGTCTCCACAATTTTGATAGTGATCAAACTACTCGATCAAATCATCGTACATGTTTCGAGCCTATACAGGCTCTTCTTCCGTGAATAGTGAAAATTCCACAACATATGAAGTTGAGAACATCCAATACTCTGAAGTAGAGTTACTTACATAAAGAATAAAAAGCAAAAATTGTACTTGAATATCTGCATGCATGAATATGTGAATGAAATACTTATATTCTCTGATGAGACATTGGAAAATATTGATTTAAATTTTCAAATATATCTTTGCTCTTGCAAAGAGGAATCTTAGGCCCCACAAAATAGGGGAAAGAAGATGAGATCCTCATGACATTCACGTGGCAATGAAAGTATGAAATCCTTGAGGTAAACAAGTGATAATAACATGACGTGACAGCCGACACCGTATGACTACTGACACAACATCACGGAAGACATCGCAGCTAATATGACAGATTATATGACAGCTGACATGATTCAGCGCGACGCGACAGATGACAAAATATGACATCCGACACAGAAGTAAGAGTTCCTGACGGAACAAAGATCATGAAAGGTGTGCTACAATCCATAGAACGAACACACACAGGACGTCAGGAATGTATATCAGGAGTAACCTAGAACAATTGAATATGACAAAGAACAACACGGGACTAGAACGGAAGGAAAGAGAGATCTGTCTGATCCGTATATTTCATAAACTTAATCAATAATTCATGTAGAAATTCGAGAATTTTTCTTCTTTTTCTTCTCCATGTAAGTAACCCTACTTTGAATCATCGAATATTATATAATAATAATGTTGAAGAATGTTCACTTTATGCTGGAGGTGAGCCTGTATGGGCTTGAAACTTGTAGGATGATCTAATTGATGAATAATTTGATCACTAACAAAATTGTGGAGATGATGTATTTTGTTCCCTGGTAATCAAGAATTCTCATAAATCTGTGGGATATTTCTGACCGAACAACTGGCCCTAAGTAGCGGCTGGACTCTGCTTACCCTCTCCAACGTCGGCATGAAACTCTTCGCCAGATGGCAGTTCTGCAGCACCACCCACGTACCGTTCTTCACGCCTTCGTCGATCAGCTTCACCGCGATGGGGCCTTGGCCCTGGCCCAGCGACAGCGGAAACAGCCGAGCGGCGCCGAATCCCTGGTCGTCGGCAAACTTGAGCAACACGGCGGTCGGGTCAGCGCCCGGCGTCAGGATGAAGATGAGCGGGATGCAACAGTGCGAGTCGGCGTAAGAGGAGGTGAGGTCGAAGGGAGGCGGTTCGATGTACATTTTCCCGAGGTTGGCTGGAATGGAGGATTAATCAAGACGAGCCGATAAACCACACCAGTCGAACGACTGTCTAACAATATTACTAATTATTATATTTGGTGGAAGTTTGGGATACCCAGGATGTTGGACAGTTTTGGCGACCATGAGTCACCAATATGAAAAAGTATCCCTTTGTGGGAATTTATGACTTATACTTTTTCGTTGGTATAACCTCAATGAACTCAATATAAACACCTGGAAGGGAGACGGCCGTTCTCTCGAATAGCACAAAGTGTGTCAGGGGCAGCTGCAACAAAGATAGCATGTTTTACGGTAACCTGTCTATTTCCTACACGTGTTGTTCAATGGTGAATTGGTGTTTACGTTTCCTTTTATCTAATAATTAAAGCATTTTATTTTTTTTTTCTTCATCTTTACAGGCAAGAAAGTGAAGACATAAGTTCATTGTCTTTGGTTATGTGAAATATCTATTCATTTGGCGTGTTTTGTTCTATCAAAAGGACTGAATTTGTTGGTGTGAATACTGTGAACTGATTGTCGAGGAGGTTTGTGATTTAATATTGATGAACAATGGTGATTTATTGTGTCGCCTTTGGATGCAAGAACGAGCAAGACAAAAGGAAATTGTCATTCCATGGATAAGTTGATTATTGTTCACATTTTCAAAAAATATAGTTCTTGAAATAATCATCAGTTAGGAGTACAATGTTCCTAGTCAATATGTTCAAAACTATACCTATATTATTTGTCAAAGTTAAATACTTCCATGACTTTTCCATAAACATTTTGAGTAATATTATGTGTTGCAGTTTTCCATTTAGACATTCTTGAATCATGAATTAATGCAGTTCGTAGAGGGAATTGGAATCCATCTGAAACCAGCAAGCTTTGTGGAGAGCATTTCCTGCTGATTATTTATTTAGACATATCAGGTACTGCTTGGTTATTGGAACCAGATGTTGTACCCAGGATATCTTCATTTCCTGAGCATTTGTTACCGAAAGATACTGATCCTCGCAGGGAAATAAGAGAACTCATAGGTACCCTAGTTGATCAATAACGGAAAAAAAAAGTATGTTTGCACCTCTTTGAGATATAAAAATAGCTAGTAATTCATTTTCAGGATGCATCTGTGGACGTTCATAACTTAGGTCCTGAGAATGATGTTTCTCGTATTATGGACTTTGATTTGTCTACGACTTCCAGCTCCCAAGTTTCCAAGTTCATCAATAAGACACCCAAACTGTTCCATTGGAGGAGGATATTGTATTTAGAATTGTATTTTTCCAATTTATAATAGGGATATGTTTGTTGGCAGTGACCTAGAGGAAAAATAGGAACCTTTTCTCATGTTCTGGTTCCCACGAAAAGGAAAATCTTGTAATGTTCAAAGAACTACGTGAGAACCGAGGAAAATAAGGTAGGAATTGGTGTTCTTCTTGAATTTATGGAGGCTATATGCCTCGGGGAATACATGCCTTGCCAATGTGTTCCAGAGCCACGGCGATCGTTAGATAAACGAGTCTTTGGAAAGAGATGTTCTGCAGGTCTCCAAAGTGACCACGAAGAAGTGCGAAGCCTCAACTCGACGGGTTTATCTCGCTGGGACTGCCAAGGCAGGAACAGTTTTTGATATTTCAGAAGAGCATCGTCCATGAGAATATCTATAAAATAGAGCCAGATCGCAAACTTTTCTACGGTGTTCCAGAAAAGTGAGTGTGTTTGTGAGCGTGGCATCACCCACGAGACGGATTGCCCTGTTTTGGACAAAATCCAATAGTTCCAGGGTATGTTTGGGTGCTGCACTTCAAATATGGAAACAGTATTCCAGGACAGGTTGGATCTGTGCCTGATAGATCATAAGCCGAAACAGAAAACCAAGTTTTTGGGATGTACTTCCAGCAATTGATCTCACGTGATTTTCCCAAGAAAGATTATTTCTGATGGTGATACCAAGCATCAAAATGGATGTCATCAAAGGAATGGTTACTCCTGACGAGCTTATGTTAGGCACAGTGAGATCGGCTTTTCTAGAGGAAAGGCATGCTTGTGTTTTGTTGTATTGTTGCCAAGTCCATATTTATAATGTCAACATTTCTCCCTCGCTCGTTTCTGGTTTTATTTATTTTATTTATTTCAGTTATTGCATTACATTCTTTTCTTCATTGATACATTTCATACAAATAATATATAAAGTATAATTAATTTTCTAGTAGGAATGACATGAATGATCAGACAGTAATTCCTGGTATAAGATCATTCATGAAGTATTATCGACTGTTGTATAATTTTAATTACGTGAACAAGAAGGGGAAAAATAAAAACAGTGAAAAAAAAAAAAGAAAAAAGGAAATTCATGGTCTTTCAGCTTTGATCATTCCTTTGCATATAAATATATTTCTTAACTTTATTTTTGAATTGCATAATATTTGGGCTGTTTTTGATATCATCTGGTAATTTATTGAATTTCGAAATCGCCTCATGTGTAAACTTTTTTTGCCCAAGTTTAGAATTTGCAGCATCAAGATGAAACAAGTCATATTGTCTAGTGTGATGATCATGAATTTCGGAATTCCTGATTAATATAAAATTTGATTTAAGCTTTTTGTTGATGATATAATAGGAAATTTTGAGAGTATTGATTAAAAAGTGCTCTTCCAAAGAAAATGTGTTTGTTTCCTTATACAGTTGATTCGTTGGAGTGTCATATGGAAGACGATACAATACTTTCAATGCCTTTTTATATAGAACAGAAGTTTTGTTGAAACTATTTTTGGAACAAGATCCCCAAATATTGCCCTGGAAGAGAAGGCGGTATGGAGGGTACTATCATCCGCGAAGCTGCGTACTGGACATGAAGTTGCTTCCAACAAATCGTTAATATGGAGTAGAAATAGTGTCGGTGTTAGAATTGAACCTTGCGGAACACCAGCATTTATGATAAGAGAGTCGCAGATGGAACTCTATCGACCACACCAGTCGTACGATTGTCTAACAATCTTACTGATCATACTTGGTGAAAGTTCGATATACCCAGAATTGGCGACAACGGGCCACCAATATGAAATATTATCCCTTTGTAGGAATTCATGACTCATACTTTTTCGTTGGTATAACCTACCAGATTGAGAATGGTTCAATGACGGTTAACAATATTTATCGTCTATCAAAACGCGTTTTTGAAACGTCAGGGTTGGTAGAACTGATAATATACCATATCTTCTTCTCCGTCAATGTGACAATTGGTCGAGAAGTTGAACATTGAGAATAAAAGAACGTATAAGTCGGCTCAATTCTTTCGATAACTCGAGGTTTTCTATTTGTTCAAATATTCTACATACTCTATTTTTGATTGTTTTCGATAAAACAGATCATAAATAGCTTTCAGGACTTTTCGGCAAAATGTTTGGATTTTTGAGTTTGACACTGACCTCAGGTTTCAGAAGCGCCAACTGATAAGGCTGAAAATGTTAGCCCTCATTGTCATTTTCGAATACAGCATATTCTGGAAAATAGAGAAGAACTGAAAAAACAAACTTCACGTATATTTTTGTTCAATTTTGAAGTACAAAAATGGTAACATTGATCACCACATTTTATTATGAACTCGTTCTTCATCTTCGTGTATTATAGCGTCTAAGATTAGTAGTTATTTATTTATTTATTTTATTTATTGAACAAATAACTTTCAGACAGAATAGGCTTTGGTATAAGAAAGTACATTATTATATACCTGTTGGAAAAAACAGAACAGTCCAGTTTTTTTAAGGATGCCAAACTGCAGCAAAAGATGTCAATGGTTTCATTCATCGTATTATATATCGAACACATTTTGTAAACAGGTGCATGGAATTTAACATTAGTGCGACAAAGTGGAAGGTAGAAACTATTGTTTCTCCGGGTTGTGAGTCTGGGAACATGAAAGTGTATCATCTCCAAAATGCAGCTGCAGTCCAAATTGTTCCGGATAACATTGAAAAGGAATATAACATGCGACCTATTTCGACGATCTTGAAGTGAAGCAACTGAAAATCTTGATAGAAGTTGATCATGTGGATGACCTACATCTGGGTAGTTGCCATCAAGTTTGAAACATAAGTACTTCAAAAATTTTCGTTGGATATTTTCCAAATTAGATATATGTACCATGTACCTGATAATAAGGTGCCCAAACTATTGATGCATAATCTGAATTTTACCAAGTTTGCTCAGAATTAATCAGTTTTTTTACTTCATTTTACCTGTATTTCTGCAATTTTTTATATTGTCAGGTAGTTTATATTGAATTCAATTGAGGCTGAATGGGTGAATCTGTTTTGTCCAATTATGGAGCTAGCGGCGTCAAGATGAAACAAGTTATATTGTCTAGTTTCATGATTATGAATTTCAGAATTCCGTATCAAAATAATATTCGACTTCAATTTTTATTTATGATATAATATGATATTTCAAGAGTTTCAATTCTATATATTTCATCTGAAGAATACGTATTTGTTATTTCATACAATTGATTGGTTGGTGTATCAAATGGGAGACGATACAATACTTTTTACGATTTTCTATATAATGTTGATACTTTATTGAAATTATTTTCTGAACAAGATCCCCAAACATATATCAAATAGTTGATACGACTCAGTATATGAGAGTAGAGGATGATGTTTGCAATTTCAATATCAAGTTTGCGACATATCTTCTCAATGCACCAATAATTGGAGATATTTTTTTGTCAGAACATCAATATGTTCGTCCCACTTCAGCCTGTTATCAAACCAAATACCAAGATATTTTATCTGGTCAGTTTGTTTTTGAGTACATTTTTCATTTTATGGTTGAGATAAATTTTTTGTTAATTTTTTTGGTGAAAAATCATATATTCTGTTTTGTTAGCATTTATCGATAAAAGGTTTATTTGACACAGAGTTGGTTGATTTTGTATTGATTGTACTATTTTCAAGACATGAATTCAAAATATTTCTCACAGTGCCTCTGAGTCCCATTGTTTCTAAATTTT